AAAGGGTGCTTTAAATCGGTGGAGTGTCGCTGTCGGAATACTGGCCTCCCTCTGTTCGGCGGTCAGTAGGTACGTCGGTTCTTCGTTGTTGTGACTGAATTCTTCTTTAGTCAGTTCGTTAGTTTGTTCTTCTGGGAGGAGATTTAAGGGCGTCCATTGCCTCATAAGTTATTGCTCGCAGCTTTCTCTATCTTCAATCACGTCATGTCCTCTCTGCTCTCAACATCGTCCCAGAAGCCATTCTCGTGTCATGATTCTCGATTGCTTTTCATTTCACGACGCTTTCTCGTTCTACTCCTTCCTGTTTCATCGTCTGACAACTCTACTCCTCGGCATGGCATGCATATTTCTTCGCTCATCGTCCATGATTGCCATCTCTTCCGTTGTCTCTTGTGCTGTGTTTGCTCTTTCTACATTTCGTTGTTCTCGCTTTGAGTTTTAGGCAATCGATTTCCTGTGTCCAATCTTTCCACAGTGGAAGCACTTCCGTCTGAACTCTTCTTACTTGAAATTCCGCTCTGCTCCCATTGTTCCTGCTGAACTTACCGTTTGACTTTCCTTGTACCTTTTCCGTAGCTTCTTCCGTTCACCTTTCTTGTCTGGGCAATCTTGTTGCTTGTGTCCGATCTTTCCGCAGTTCCTGCATCTGCCCTTTAATTGTTTTCCTCCAATCATGAAAGCTGTTTCGCCTTTGTGGTCTGTCGACTTGTTCCGTGCTTTATATCTCTCGTAGATTTCGCATAAGTCATCTACCACACTCTTACCGTTATTCCATGTCCTGTTGTCTTGATCCTTCGCAGAACATTCTTCTTCACTTCATGGTACACTCCGGTTTCTCCTTCCTTCTTCGGCATCTCCTCGAGAAGGTCCTTGATGTACTCTTCGTCCGATATCTTGAACACATCCTTCGCAAGCTTCTTCTCGTTTCACGTCGAGTCCAATCTCGACTTCTTTGGGTTTTCCTTTGATGTCCTTCTTTATCGCGTAGTTTCCGTTCGTCGAGCTGCTACCTCACCACTGTCTTCAGCATCGTAGAGGTCCAGCATGGACTCCCACATGCCCTTGAATTTCCCAAGCAGCATGGTCAGTCGTTTGGTGTGATGCCAGTAGGTCGAAGGCGACTTGCCTTCGATGGTCTCCACATTGATCGAGGAATCCAGCAGTATTCCAGCAGCCTTGCTGTTCTTCTTCTGCAGACTTTCGATCTTTTCTACTTCGTCGTCCGACAACTTGCCCGTACCTGTAGGGTTTTCCCAGTTGTCCGGTTTGATCTCCGTAGAGTCTTTCATCAGTTCTACGTACCCATACTTCGATAAATGGGCCATCATCTTGACCTTGTAGAACCTGAACTTCTCATCTTTCCCATCGAAGATGGGATACTTGCTCGACGATGATACCTCTACCTCCGTAGACATCTTTACTTACTTCTCAATTCTTCTCCTTTCTGTTTGACAACCTGGATCCAAGCTCACTCTTTCCTGATAGCTATCGTTTTAAAACGTGTTGAAAAGGTGTGAACTTGAACGCACAATTTCTCTAATTTAATCAATATCCTTCCAGCTCTACTGTCTAGTAGACTGGCTATTCGTTTCGTTTTCTCTTTCTCTCTCGTTCAGATTGTGAGCTCTACAACTGAGCTCCGATATGCATACATATACCAGGATCTTTCGATCCTCTGCTTCTCGCAGTTTCATCTACAGATAGATCTCGTCGATCTATCTTCCTGAAGTGCATGGTTGGCCCTGGAGGGCTTTCCCACTTTACTAAACCTATGGACCTTCATCCGTCCATTCATTTGCTCCATCCCGTCGCTCCTTGCATTCATCTCTTCGACCTAACTTCCTAACCTTTGTAGTTGCATCATCTAGACGACCATTGTCCTCGTTCCTCGTACACCTGGCCATCTGATGATGATCGGATAACCATCTGATTTGAGTCACACATCCCCAATCACGAACCGTGATTGTGGATCCCGAGTCGTCTGTCCGTCATACGAAAATACCTTTCTGACATCTGTCAGTGTTTGGATCCATCACTAGCGTTAGGGTTGCTTTGGCTCGGCAAATCTTCCCGTGTGCATCCATACTACTAGACTACTACTAGTACTAGCTATGGTACATGTAGTAGCATTGGCCCTGCCAAATACCAGATGGTTGGCCAAAACTTCTACTGTAAAGGCTACAACATCCAAAGACAAAACAGATACTAGCAGCCAGCTTTGAGGTTCCTCCTATTCAAAGTCTAGCTATCTAGCTAGGTATTCTGTAAGAGCAGATTGCTAGCTATCTAGCTATCTATGTATCTAGCTAGGTAATAATAATATGAGGAAAGCCAACGCAAAAGATCAACCAAAAAGAGCTGACGAGAGAGCGGTGAACATGACTTTGCTACAAGAATCCATGACATTGAATGAGGAATCATTGTTGCCTTTTGTAGTAAACTACATGTACGCTACTCAGCTGTGCAGCTACAAACCAAACACTGAATACGGCACAGGCACTGGTGCAAGCGAAGCGGAAACCAAGCTTTCCGGCTTCCGGGACAACCATGTGAAAGCTGGAAACTTTCGTGTCAAAGACTTGGAGGGTTGGAATCTTAAGAGGCATGAACTGACAATTCATCAAATTCAGCCATCACTAAGAACAAGGGATAAGTTGCTCACTGGAACCAAGTTGCTCACACCGGAACCAGTGACACTCCCTCCACCAACCCAACCATCAAGGCAGCCATCGCCTACATCAATACTGAATCAGGCAATGATGTGCAACCTGAAATCGCCACTGGAGTTCGATTTCTTGGTCAACCAATTGGATCCGACACATTTGCTACCACTTTCCTCACTCAGGCTTCTTGGCTAGAGGTGATGTGGTGTTCTTTTCTTGTCTTGGAGTTTTGGTCGTCGAAAACCAATTCTCCGAAGACTACCGAGATGCCGAGTTGCTACGGGCAAATGCCGCTGCATGGGACCAAGACCGGTCGGGATTAGGGAAATCCCTGTTGAGGGCCTATGACGACAACCGGTATGATTCAAGCAAGCTTAGCGGAGATCAACTCGTGAAGCTGTGTGATAAGGATGGTGTGGCTGTCGACATTGCACCACAGGAGCGATTCCCATATGCCTCCCTCAGGGCAGGTGTTGTGGTTTTGGCACATCCTGCTGAGAAGCACGAGCTGTCCAAGATACGTTTGGCCCGTGAGTGGGAAAATCTTCATGCAATGGTCACAAATGATATCAAAAGATTGATATGCTTTCGAGAACTGGATGGTGAGGACGGGCTCATGGGTGGCTGGGCCGATCTTTATGCTGAAGGATTGACCTATGAGGACATCCAAGAAATCAGTCCCAACAAAAGGATGTTGCAATCATTAAGCAGGCATACGAAACAAAAAGTACTCCACAAACCTCACCAAGCTCATTCACAGCTCCACTGACCTACACACCAAGTTTCTCCTATCCCACTCTCAGCACTCGCTGCATACAAGGAGATCCATGGCCATTGTAATGTTCCCGCTGTGTGGAAGGAAGGCCCAACATTGGGTAGTGTTGTGCACAGAATGACATCATGGCAATGGAATCTTCTTAGATCTGTGGAGTCGCCTTCGAGGACGAGAGAAAGCGAACGGGTGGGGGCTGACCACCAATACAACAAACTCCACCAACAATCACAGGAGTTAGGGATGTTCAAGGGAGTAGTTCGTTTTGCCCCCAATGACATAACACAGTTGCTTTGTTTATAAATAAAAAATAATGTAATTTTAGTTTCGTGATGCATTCATACATTTGTCTCTGACACGAGTGTTCAAGGTTATCGGCTGTTCCTCCTGGATGCATGGAACCGGTGCTTAGCCATCTTCTATCCTTGGCTCTATCGGTTTATTTCACAGCTTCCATCAATTCTTCCACAGTTCCCTTCCATCCGTTCTCCAGTTTGCTCAGAATCCTCCTTTGTTGTTCTGACATGTCTTGTAGATTACCCTTTTGTAGTGAGACAGTATCCAAGTTGTTCAAGCTGACAGGTGGATTATCACCTGCACTCTTCCGGGACCGTTTTGACTTGGAAGTCGCAGCAGCGGGAGGAGGATTGGGGGGAGCCATCAATGGTGGCATGGGCGGTTGCAGTGGAGGCATCATGGCAGGGTTGCGACCGTCTTGGAACGACGCCCACATGGCAAAGGATGCCGGATCCGCCATGGGATTGGCGGCCTTGGGAGCCGGCAAACCATCCGGTGCTCGTGGTTGCCACATATTGTTCATCATGGGTGGGCCCTTGGATGCCGACTCTTTTCCGGGCGATGACATGGCCGCTGCTGCTGCTCGCACCGCCGCTTTGGTTTTCTTGGCGGCGCCCTTTCCCGATTTCTTGTTGTCTCGTTGGGATGCAATCATGTCACGGAGACAGTGGCCCACCTGATGGATTGGAAGAATGGAAAAGAAAGCAACAAAGTTCAGCACAAACATTAGAGATGGAAAGTTGGAAACGAAGAGCCGAGACTCGCAAAGCTCCTGGCTAACTAGCAAATTACCTTTTCTCGGGCACTTTCGTCGCTCAAGGAGATCCATCGTGCCGTCTTGGGACAACGCTTGAGGAATCCTCCCGTTGGTTTGGCATTGCGGATGGTGTCGACAATTCCCACGACTGTGGAGAGGAAAGAAGAGCAGTGAACCGGCAACCACGGGTGAGGAGAGGATGGAGACGTGAACGAACAAACAAACAGCAGAGGTTCCAAGACCACACAGCGCAGCCAAATTGATAGACTGACCTACAAGAGTCTTATCGACTTTGCACCTAGCAGCAAGATATCGTTCCAGATTCATGGCGATCAACTGACGAAACCTTTGGAAACCATGGCAAAGGCGCAGAGTACAAATAAGTGTGCCAGTGAGATTTAGCCGCTACGAAACGGTAGAAGACACAGTTTCACTTTATTCTCTCACCTCCTGTTCGCAATATGATTGTAACTTTTGCGCCCTCTACCGTTGATGACATCATCTGTGGGAAGAAGAAGAAAAGAGAAAATTGAGCGTCTTTGCTTAGAGCAATCGATTTGTTCGTTGGCTCGATGGCTGGGAGGTCGACAGAGGGTAGTCCAGATCTCTACACAATCTAAAATATACCCAAGTAAAAAGAAGTGCAGTCGATAACAGAGCAACCAACAGAACAAAGGGCACACCGCCACTGTTCCGGAAAGAAAACGAGGCCATCACTCACGTCTTGTGGGAGCATAGTCTTCGGGTAGCATGACATCCTCGGTCTCGGAATACGGGAAAGGATCGGGTCGCTTGATCTCGTCCTCCTCATCACCCACTCGAAAATCGTTGGCACTCATCTTAGCTTGTTCCAATATTATATGGTAGTAACAGCAGTGGTACCGTATCTAATAGATAAGGCGTGGGAAAGACAACAATAGACGCGACTTGTTTGTTGTTGTGGCCTGACTAATATCGCTTGGCTGGAGTGACCAAACACGGTACAGTGTAGCAGTAACACGGCGTGGTTGTGTTGCTTGCTGTGGCTCTTCTTTTGCTGGGACTTTTTCAAATGACCCTTGGTGGTCGCGTGTTAAATCTTTGAATTGACACCTTTTAAACCGTTTTCGTGACTGAATCCCTTATTGGGAATGAATGAGTCACTCATTTATCCATTCCCGCTACGCTTGCTTCCACGTGTTGCCCAATGTTGAAGGGTGCCGTGATGCACTTGCTGTCAGTCTCTCCTCCCATGATGCAGTCCTCACTTCTTTCTTCTCTTCCGCAAGTCTCTTCATCGTTGATACCCTTCATTCTCTTGTCTACCAGGCCGTACCATTGCTCTGTCTCTATTTAAAAGAAAAGAAGAAAGTGCCACCATGACCAAAACAATCTCCTCTCTTGTGCTTCTATTGCTGGCCTTGTTCCAACTGAGCCATTCGTTTACCCTGCAACCGGCTGCAGTTCCCCGACAAACTCGTCTGTTTTCCGACAAGGACAAGGACGGAGGCGCTGCCATTGCCAAGCCCAAGATTGGACAAAAGACGGCCGTCGAAGTCCAAACCAAACAAAAAGTCAGAATCGTGCAAAGGGCCAAACCCGCCGAACCCGTTCAACGACGAGAAGAAAAATTTGAAGACGCTCCCATGTTCAAACTCATGCTCATTGGAGATGACGGATACGATGTCACGCATGTCGTGGAACGATTGTGTGCCATTGTCGATGATATGGACGAAGATCAGGCGGCCAATGTCGTGCAACAAGCCGATCAAGAAGGAAAGGCCATGTGTGGAAAATACCCCTTTGAACGAGCCGAACTCTTCAAGGAACAATTGCAACGATCGGATCCCATGATCTTTAGTGATTTGGAAGATGAAAACAAATAAATAACATGAGCACGCATCAATGAAGGAACGAATGAAGGAAACACTACAACAAATTAGTATAATATATAGATTGTAAAGAACCAGTAGGGACAAAAGTCATCAATCAAGCAATCAGTGAAAGGTGAAAGCAAACAACTGGCAGAAGTCTCAGGTCTCAGAGCAAACAATAACCTCTGAACTGGCCAAAACCCTTCTCAAACTTCCAACTAAAAATATCTAGCATTTTACTCTTAAATGTATGTCTGTGTAGAGTTCTATTCTTTAAAAATTCTACAGACATAGCAATTTTACTTTAAAGTTTTTTCCCAACTTCCCACTTTAACACGTGTTAAAGTCGCTCGGGATTTCCATGGATACATTTAAACTTTAAGGTATCCGGTTTTCTATTTCCGCATGTACATTAATACTTTAAGGCATTCCTATAAATCTTTAAAATGGGCCATTAAAGCTGACCTAACTCCACCTCATACAGGGACATTTCCTACCACCACCCACCCATACAGCTCACTGTTAGTGGTCCCTCCTTGCTATTGTACCAGAAGCTTTGCAAGCAATTCTATTTTTCACCATGTCATTGTTTGCTGGCTTTGAAAAGCAGAAACCGTGGACCCATTGGATACAGAAGATGAAGAGGAAATTGGCAACAATTAGGTAGATAGCAGCTTTTAAGCTTTAGGCAAGCATGTCATTACATGGACTTTCTTGTGCACGTCCCACTTTACAGATTCTGGCAAAAGTACTTAGTTATGAACCTACTCTTTATAGCCATGGTCTCCGTTTGTAAAATAGCTGCTGGGTCTGTACTCACAGGGCTGCTGAGATAGTAATGCTATCGATCTGTATCTTCCGAGCCCTTCACTCTCAGTCTGGGTCGCATCGTTCGGCTGGCCTTGTTGGAACCATCCAAGGACACATCGCCCCCACGGTTTGTAGTATGGGTGCCATTCCTAGTAGAATCACCGGGTCTGCTCCCTCTGGCTGCCGCTGTCAACGAAATCATCTCCATGTTGGTAGGGGCCGTATTCCTACCCATCTTGCTGTTGGGGGAAAGGCCAACATAGTCCATAAAGTAATTGGTAGACCCACCCAAAACAAACACCGTAAACATGATGGAAGCTGATGTCATGGCCTTCAATTCTGCCTTCACTCTGGTGCCTTCTCCCGTCACAGCATCAAACAAGGGAATGTGCTCCACCAAGGCAAATGACATGGCACCCCTCAGACCGGCAAACCAAAGCACCATTTGCATTTTACGATCCACAATGACACCCGTGGCGGGAGAATTCTTGTGAATTCCCCGGCATCGGTTCTGATACTTTTGCATTGACGTGATCCAATTGGCAAAGGCACTCAAAATAGGAATCATAATGGCCCTACTGACGCAGCACGCCAAGATGGACACCATCACATGGAACCCGTTCCAGTGGTACCGGTGACTAAACAGAAACAAGCCAAGGTAGGCAAAAATAGCCGTTTCCATCATGGTCGCCACAATCTCCGTGACAAAATGAATGTGGGTGCGAGCCACGGCGGACAAATGGCCCTCCACAGAAAAGAGGGGGCGCACTTTGCTACGATCCCAGGTTTTGCGTTCCTCGGGAATGGGTTCATGGATCGGGAATGGCGACCCGTGCGAGTGCTCCGAAATGTCGTCCTTGTCGTCTCCCAACCCAATCACGTACATGTCCAAGACAAAGCCCACTGTCACCGACGTCACAACACCCGACCAGCCAATTCCATCACACACATAGTACGGGAGCAACGCCCAGCATAGGAACATGAGCACCTCCACGAGCGGGGTTTGACATCCATGAAAGGCCCAAAAGTAGAGTGTGCACATGATGCCTGATCCCACACCGACCAAGATGGATCCCATTGCCACCACAAAAAAGTGAATAATGGCATTGACAATTGCATCTTGATCAATAATGACATTGGAATCCAGAAACTGCACCAGCGTGTGGAACAACACAATGGCCACGCCGTCATTCAGCAAACTTTCGCCAAAGACTAGAACGTACAAGGTATCTGTATCTGTCATTCCCATGTTGCTGAGGACACTCAAAACCGCAATAGGGTCAATGGATGAGATAAGTGCACCGAAAATGAGTGATTCAATGTAGGGTATAGTTTCGCAGAATCGCCCCAGCCACAGAGTTCCATTGTAGACCATGCTGGCAGTCAGGAAGGTCGCAGTGACAGTTCCCACAGTCGAGTAGATTATGATGGGTACAAGGTGCCGATTGAATGACTTTTTGTCAATACTCAGAGCCGCTTCAAAGACTGCAGCAGTGCGACAAGGACAGGGTGAGAATCGAAGAACATGTACAGACATAGTGCGTTCGCGCATAACACAACAAAACAACACTTACCAATCGGAGGCACCAATATCCGCAAGAACCAGTTCCCATCAAACGAAAAGTCTTGATGTGGAAAGTACGATGCCGCGTATCCACTGGCCACACCCACCAAGATACACCCCGCCGCTTCTGGCAACCATCTAATTTTGAAATGTCGAATGAGACTCTTGACCATGCCACAAAATGCCATGATCAACACGACAATGAACAATCGCTTGTCGGATATTTCTTCTTCGGCATCCACATTGCAATTTTCGTGGTATACATTGAGAATGGAAGCACAACACGCCCTGGCTTCGACCGATGTGGGATCGTTCAATACAGCCGATACAAGTTTGTTGGTTTCATCCACCGCTTTGGCGGACGCGGCGGCATCTTCTCGTGCGTTGGGTTTGGTCATATTATTGTGGGTGGCATTGACGGCCTTGATGACCTCTTTGAGCACCTGTCCTTCTCGTTCGAGGAGGAGTGTCTTTTCCAGTGTTTTGCTAGAGACGTGTACATGTCCCGTGGGCAAGTGGAGCGACGTATGAGGCGTCTTGACCTTGACGTGTTCTTCTTCTTCTGTCTCTTCGTCTTCGGCAGCAGCTGCCGCTGTTGTATTTTTATTGGTGAGATCATCGTCATCTTGTACATTTTTGTTGTCGTCTTCTTCTTCAGATTCATCTCTTGGCGCTGTTTCGCGCAAGGTTGTTTCCTCGACTCTTCTTCTTCTCTGATTCTGTATTTGTGTTTTGTTGTCACGTATTGTTGTTGTTGTCGTCGTGTGATTGTTGCGGCGTATTATTGTCGTTTGGTTTTTGGAGTGGTGGTGGTGTTGTCGTGTTACAAATTTTTGGCGAAAGACACGATAAACGGCATCGTGTGCTTTGAATGTGGGTCGTTTGGGTGTTATGGTTGGTACTATATAAGAGAGCACCCAGTGTACTCCCTGTACCGTTTGCTGCAGTAGATACTCCAAAGACTCGACAACTTCATTGGCCCCCATTAGCTGTTGTCGTCTCAATTTTCGTTGTCGTTTGGGTTCTTCGTGTGCTGCTTCCTGCTGATCGTCATCTTCTTGACTGCAGGTTTCATCAAATGCTTTTTGAAGTCCGGTGCATTCGTCTTTGCCATTGGTAGCATTAATGACATAATTAATGACGGAATCTCTACAGAGGAGTGCTTCGGCGGCAGACAATTTTTGAATGCCCACTCCGATGGGTATCTTTTCACCCCGATCGACCACCAGCGGAATGGCGTCTTGCTGTTCACGTAACAAGAGTGACTCGGACGCTTTGCGACTGCTGCTGTAGGGACTATTATTGTTGTTGCTGTATTTGGAAGAAGAATCTTGTTCCGCGAGCATTTTTTTGGTGAGATGATGATGCTCGGGTAACGAGGAAATGGTTTGTCCCTGTGGCAAGTTGACGGGAGGAGCATTGACGTCAATTTCAATGACACGGTTGACTTGAGGCAGTGGCATCTGGAGTCCTCGGCTGCTGACGAGTCGTAGTGTGACGGCCACTATCAAGGGTATCATGATAATGACGACACTGCGTTTGGCGGAAGATAATGACAAGAAAAATGCCGTGGCCTTTTCACTCATGGAAGGGTTATTGGTGCTTGGGGTATCTGGATGTATGTGTTGTGGAGTCGAAGGCAAGGGGACAATCACCACGGGGACGTGTGCTTCGTCATTATCTTCTAATGCTTTCTCCAAAGGAATCTTGTCTTGTGGTGGCGAGCCCAATATCGAGTTGGTTTCAAAGGTATCTTCCGAGGCGGTCGACGAGAGAGGGGAGAGTACAACATCCTCCGCGTGACTCAAGTTGTCTTCTTTCGTTGAAGAAGACGGAAACATCATCTTTCTTATAGATACTCCAAAACAAATGGCAACACCAATACTCAATTGATAACAATAGATATGATAACACCGAAACAATAATAGATACCCTCACAGATATCGTAGATTGTGGAACAGATTGCTCCTTTACCCCCAAAACAGAAAAGAAACGCGGAAGTGGCTTTGGATTTGGAGATTTGAACGACCGGTCCGGTGGCAAAAGCAATGACCAAACTAATAGCCTGCTGAGCTGTATGTGATAGAGCCATCCAACCATAGAAAGATCCAAACTGATGTTTCCCTCATTTCTCATTTTGTCTTCTTTTTGTTGGAGGGTACTGGTACCGGTATCCATCAGATAGTTAGGTTGTTGAACAGTAAGGTTGCTTCTGGATAACATACATGAAGTCTCTGCTTTGGATCTCATTCTGGTGGTGGTGGACCTTGGCACCGATTCCATGTCACGGTCTTTCACTTTCTTCTCGGAGGTATCCTGGTGAGAGTAATAGGCGAAATGGCCTTCCCACGAGAACTAGATTGGTTCTACGTGCCTCCACCCTGACAGATTCCACCACCACGAATCTTATACCATTCCAAAATAATAATAACGAGGAGGATACTCGTCCGCACGATCATCGAGCCAAACAAGCCAGAAAAGCAAGACGAATGAACAGTTCGTTCCGATATCTCTACCGCCACGATAATGATAATGACAAGTCGTCGAATGCAGACTTGCAGTTGAGCCCCAAAGAATACTTGATGGAGGCTGGAGGCTACACGGAGCAGCAAATCCAAGAAATGCAACGACGATTTCCACCACTGCTACAACTCGATGTTCCACGACACTTGAAACCCAAAATGAAATTCCTCAAACACACCATTCTCCAAATCACGCCGCGATCATCGTCCGACGACGACAAGAATCATCAAGTGCTACCCCCGTTCGTCCAAACAACATTGCCACCCCAGTATTATGGAGCTCGATTGGAACGCATCGTCGCTCCTCGTCATGCCTTTTTGGTGTACGCCAATCTATATCATGGCAAAGAGTTGCTATTAGAAGAAGAAGATGATGAGCATGCTTCTTCTTCCAATAGATGGCAACTCTTTCTCACGAGCTGCCGTAACACCAAACAATTTGCGGCGCTCTGCAATCAATGGGCCAAAGAAAAGCAGCAGCAACAACAACACAAAACTACTACGACTACTACTGCCATTACATCCAAACAAATTGAGGCCTTTGATTTCATGTTTGGACGTGGGCTCATGGCGGCAAGCCGCAATGAATTGTGCCAACACAACAATACTTGGCCACTCGATTTCATTAATGTTACCTCTGCCGAAATGATTGACTTGTTGATCCAACATGGAGCCAATCCTTTGGAACGGGACAACCGAGGAGTCTCCTTGTTGCATTGGGCGGCTGGAACGGGCAATTTGGAGAATGTCCAGGCGCTGATGCCCCATTTGGGGGTCTGGGTCCAAGCCGAGCGCGATGGGGCTACACCACTGCATTGGGCGGCCGCGGGAGCCAATGCCCGGGAATTTGGGGTGGGTGGGCACAAGGACGTGGCAGAATACCTCTTGTCACAGGTGGATCATGCATGTCATCATTACAGTAACCAGCCAACAAGCGAAGAAGGTCGACCCAGCCGAAAAGACTTGGTGTGTCAATTGACACGAGATGGCAACTCGGCATTGATGTGGGCCGCATGGTCGGGGACACTGGAAACGGTCAAGTTTCTCATTCGGAACCGGGCCGATCCCAACGTAGCCAATCGCAATGGTTGTACCGTGGCTCACTGGGCAGCCTCGGGGGGTAACTTGGAAGTGTGTCAGTATTTGGCGGAGACGGTAGGAGTGGACTTTACCGAACCCAATCACGGAGGCAACACGCCACTGACACATGCCGTGGCGTTTGGACACCCACAGATTGTGGAATGGTTGAGACAACAAGTATTGGTGGACTCGGAAGAAGATAGCATTGCAAAAGCTCTGGCGGGAGACTTTGTCGATTGGACAGAGGGAAAGGATGAAAATGAAAAGCGACAACAAGTTCGGAACCTGTTTGAGGATTGGTATGGCCATGATGAGCGGATATGATGATAATGAGTAGGTTGATTGATTTTGTACACTTTGTCTGATAATTCACAACACACAAGATTGTGTGCACGTCATAGGATCATCAGAGGTAATGATTGTAGCTTGTCGTGTTTGGTGCCATTGACTTGCAGTGGCGTGGGATCGAGTTCGTCCACTTTCAGACAAAGAGGACCCTGCTTCCTAGCTTGTTTTACAGAAAGATCAAACAACAACTCAATCTTCTTTTACTCGAATCCCCTGTTTCTTCAACACCTTATGCACATTGTCTTGGATGCACTGATCCAATCGTTTTCGAATGGTATTACAGTGATTTGCGCACCCCTCCACTGCTTCCTTGAATTCCTCACTGTTGGCGCCCATGACTTTGGGTGCGTCGTTCGTACGCAAGACACTGACGCCGTGATAGCCCCCACAGCGTTCCAATTCACAGAGTGTCTGATCCCTCAACTGATAAGAACATCCCCACGTGTTGATGCTGCGATAGGCTAGTTTGACTGCCCCTTCGCATTGCGATGCCTGAGTCATAATGCTCGGACAAGAAGGATCTTGTCGTTTCTTTTCATCGAGGCAGCGATCGCGAGCCTTGTAAACGAATCGACAAAACTGCTTCACATTGGGCTGAAGGGTGGGCAAGTCTCGAGGGCCCATCTGAAAGCTCTTGTGGGATGTTACCAAGGAACCCAGGCAGAATAGCAAGGAGGACAGGAGGAACCCGAGCTTCACATTCTCTTTCACATGGACCATCTTAATTAACAAAGGATAATCAGATGATGGGGGGAAGCTCGACAGTTACCGATTGTCTTCTACCGACCGACAAGAAGGACTGCTGCACTCTTCCGTTTGATATGCTATCTTCAAAGGATAATCACACGGACGGAAGCTCGACGGATACCGATTCTTTCTTCTATCTATCGGCGCCATGGGATCGGGATGTTGCGGTTGTGGTTTGGATTGGAGATGCAACTATCCTCAACTCTATTGCAAAAGAATCTAATCCAGGTTGGCCATGACCCAGTTCACAGTCGGGCAGTCCATCCCTGACTTGACTGGGCCAAGAAGCAAGTTCTACCATCATAAAAAGTTCAGCAGCTACCCTTTCACAATCACAAAAGAAAGCAACAGATCCAACAAATCCAACACCAAAGCACTCCCCACAGCACAGCGGATACAAAATAAGATAAGGAAAAGAAACCACAAAGATGTCAATGAAAGTATGGTACACGAAACTGGGGATACTTGTCATCATCCTTCTGGTTGTCTTGGTATGACCTGGTCCCTCTATGGATTGAGTGTTTCCTGGTTCGTGAACAATCATGCATTGGTTGTTCATGAATGATCATGCCTTTGGTTGCTTTTGGTTTAGATGGAGATGTGGAGCCTAGCACAACTATCCCCTTCGGACGAGAGATTCAGGAAAGCCTTTGGCACAAATAACACATTAGAACACAGACATGAATGGTTCATTTGATCTTCCACTAGCTAGCCAGGATATTGTAGAGCACTTAGACTAGATGAGTAATGACCAAGCCCAGCTTGCTTATAGGCTTGCTGCGTCTCGCGCCTGTTGTTACTAGCAGTTCCATGATATGTTTCAGGCGTGTTCACACTAAGTTTCAGTAGCCCCTGGCAAGTCTTTCAAATCCACCTGATTCTCACTTTCGGATGAAGCCGCTGTGGATACAAATGTTGGTATCTCGTCCCATTTCTTGCAGGGTTGGCATGGATCACTCTTGTACAAACCAAAGCTGGAAAATTCTTTTAGGTCTGACTTGAGAGTGGTCTCGTAGGATGCTTGATCATTGACAAAAATGAGCGAGTCTCTTGTCGAGTCCAATAAGGATGGATCCAGATCCTGCAGTGAACCCAATGGAACCCACAAGGAGTTTGGTTCAAAGTGATAGTCAAAGACCATGGCAGACGAACAGGTTCCGCAAAAGTATCGTGTCGTTGTCGAGGACGACTGGTACGACTTGAGCGTCGGGAAGTCTTTTACGACAGGCCAGAGCTTGGCACGTTCGATGGCTCCAAAAGGAATGAACGTGCTCCCCGAGAGCCGTCGGCACATTCCGCAATGGCAAACACAAATCTGGGCCAATTGGACATCATCCAACTGCCATTGAATAGCTCCACAGAGACAAGATCCCTTCAAAGAGGGCACTGTGCGGCGATCAGATGGAGTTGTTTCGTTCATGCTACAGTACCCTGTCAAGTGTTGGCAACTATGGTTCTAGAGATTCTATATCAACAACACCCGGAGGCAACTTACTTCATTCTCTTGACACATCTTTGGATTCTGGTGGGTCCAAAGCGTTCCGAGAGTTAGTTGTGAATTTGAGTCCATTCACGCTCGGGTAAGGTTTAGGCTTATTTTACGCGGCATTTTTGGCGCGTTTTGCCTTCACAATTTCCGTTTTCGACTTCCAACGTCCAATGCTCTTTCGCTCTGGTCAAAAAAGAAGCATTGTCACACTCACAACAAAAGTAACTCATTGTAGTAGTCGGTTGTATCAGACCACCACCATGCCAACAAGAGTCCTCGAAGACGTGCCAGTGGGCGATGCCACTAGCGAAACTAGCCCTGCCTCTGCGGCTACTGCTCCTCCTCAAAGCAGAGCCATGGTCGAATCTGGTCGATCGATGCAACAGGCAACGGGTGATACTAGTAACGGTAATGCCTGCCTTCAATTGACGTTGGGTGGTGTTGCCTTTTCGTTGTTTCCAAGCATGAATCCTGAGGGCCAGGTAACGTTTCAAGCGATTAGTGGCACTGGGGCCACTTTGAAGCTGAACAACTTTACTGGTGATCTTACAGTAAGCATCACGTCATCCGCCAATGCTGAACAAAATCTCAGTAGACCTCTGCTTCGACAAGAGTCAGTGACACCATCTCCTACGGAAACCAACAAACGCAGTTTCCCTTTGTGCCAACAGCGAATGCTCCAGCATGCCAGTGGAGCGTCGCCCGAAGCTGCAGGAGCGCTCAAGGCATCGGACTCCCAAGCTCCCACACCCACCATGGCCAATGTTAGTAAGCAGCAAGCCAGCAAGAGACATCATAGTGCCAGTCAAGAAGTGGAGCAAGTCAAGGTGGCGAGTCGGACCAGTCCTTTGCCACACCATTCTCCTGTCAAGCGTAGCCGAAGCAATGGCAACGGCAATGCCAACAAAAAGTCCAAGATGTTGTCGCAGCAGCTTCCGCCGTCCCCCATTGCTCTCCAAAAGTCGCAGCAGTCTCCTGGATTGACCCAGCAGTCTCCTGGTCTCACGCAGCAGTCTCCTGGTCTTACGCAGCAGTCTCCCGGTCTCACTCAGCAGTCTCCCGGATTGACCCAAAGGTCCTCATCGCCAGAACAGCGGTCTCCCAATATGCTAATGTCGCAGCAAGAACTCCACTGCTCTCAGCCTAGCTTTAGCTGCTCCCAACGCAGCAATGACAGTGATGATGAGGATGAGCAAGTAAAGCAGAAGCAGCTGTCGCAGTCTTCGAGTAGCCACGAACCCGAGCTCGCCACCGAAGCGGAAGATGTCAGGGACAAGGAGACGGTCGAGCAAATGGAACCAAAGGAAGACGACAATGACGAAGAGGAATCGGTGGCAACTCTCAAACCGGACGATTTTCCCGAAGAGGATGAAATGGAAGAAGAAAAGAAGGAAGACAAGGAAGACACCGTAATGGACGAAGCGGACGACGACGAGGAAACAAAGGAAGAGGCTGCTATTACAGAGAAGGAACCGGTTGGCGACGGAAAAGCTGGCGAGCAGGGCACCACCGGCAAAGACAAACCCGAAGAAGATGCAGACGAGGAGGCTGCTGCTGAAGAGGAAATCGAAATGCAACTAGAAGAGACCGAGAACACCGCCGCTGATACAGCCCAGGAAACGACAACTGCGACCCAATCTCCTACGAAGCATGACGTGCCTTGTGCTCGTTGGGGACACACAATGACGATGATCGATCACAACCGCATCTTGGTGTATGGAGGACAAGCCTATCAGACAGACAAGGACAAGGAAATTGTAGCTGTTACGAAGTCCGATGTCCACGTTTTTTCTCTTGATAGCAAAAGCTGGTTTAAGCCACAGATGTCGTCGGAATCATCGATGCCTCGGCAGTGGCACTCGGCCACGTTCCTTCCGGAACGCGATCTGTTAGTATGCTTTGGAGGTGAAGTGATGAACCCCAAAACAGGGCGTCTTACCACTTTCGAAAAGAATGCTCTGATGTGTTTAGACACTGAGATTTTGCTTGTAAGTGCCAATCTGCTTCTGATTCCAGGTCTTCTTTGCTTGTTGCACTCACTTCATTGGACTGGCTGCTTCCTTAGTGGTATCCACCTCATGTTTCAGGAGACATGCCTTCCGGTCGCAGTGGACATTGTGCTACTCTCCTTCCGAGCTCCGCAAACAACGAGCTTGTGATCTTCGGGGGCACTAAGGGGGGCAAGTTTCTCAATACCGTCAGTGTCTTGGACACAAACAAGTGGGTGTGGAACACCCCAAAAATCCAAGGTATGCCACCAAGAGGCCGTAGTTATGCCACTGCGACCGCTGTTCAATCGACACAAGCTGGCGTCATTGGGGGGCATCAAAGTGATACAGTTTCTTCTAGCAAGCATGCCATGATCAACATCAAGCACCGGTAAGTGTGTGACAGCTCGTTGTCACAGGGTAGAAGCTACCTCTGTCTGGAGCCATGCTGATGTTTTTGTTTGCTCTTTTGAACCAACTGTACATGTAGGATTGTCATCTTTGGAGGCAATGAAGCGCACCAATCCTTTGATACATGTCATGTCTTGGAAAAGACTGAGGGAGTCAACACTACGTGGAGGTGGCACCATCCTGCGGTCACTGGTACCCCGCCCAAGCCAAGGACTGGACACTCGGCAACCTTGATGGAGGATCAAAAGACCATTTGCATCTACGGAGGATGGGATCCGACGACAGAAGATAGTGACACTCCCGGAGACGACAACATCTTTCAAGACAGCTTCTTGCTGGATACCGAAAAATGGACATGGACGGCAGGGCCTTCACCTGTCTTTGGGGGACTCTCCCCATTGGATTTATCACTACAAAATGAAGGTGCCCGTAGGGTGGGTCACACCGCTGTGAAGATTCCAAACCAGAACCAAGTGTTGGCCTTTGGTGGACGGGTCCCGGAGGATGTGTTTGCTGGTGACTTTCAGACATTGAGTATGGCCAATAATTGAGAATACAGTATTTATCGTATGTCACTTGTCTTGTCTAGTTGCTCGTACCGTGCATACCAAATGCAAATGTCTCAGATTCATAGGTCAGAACTACATGATGTAGGACCATGCCAAGGGAGAACAGAATGATCTGGATCTGGATACCCGTAACGCTGACGAAGTCACTTGAGTACGGTACCGGTACCAAGTGCCATAACATACTATTGCAATTGCAAGCTCCTCAATATCCTTTCGTCCTCCTTTATCCATACCGGTAGCTAGCTAGCTTGCCAGAAAACCCCTGGCGGTTTACTTCATCAAACCCCTTACGGTAACTGATGGTGTGTCGGCATTGAAAAAGTTCGCAAGAAAAGGGAAACACGGCGCTTTGTGAATTTCGCCTTTTTTTATCTTATGCATTCATACGAAGCAGAAACAGACGTCTCAGCATCCATCTCTTCATGTTGCCTCCAGAGACTGGGAGCCAAGATCCAAGTCGTTCAAAGAATCATGGGTGCAACAAACCTCAAGCCTTTGTAGGAGTTCCGCTACTGGCTTCTTCGTTGCTTGGGCTCATGATCCTCTGAATATGAGGATGAAAGAAGAGCCTTTTGAAGTGGATGACATGGAACCCCATCCAAAGTGCCATCCAGGTTTGGAACGTCCACCGAAACCAAGACGCACTTCCTGGGACCAGCGTAGATTCCAGTTGGGCCAACCACTGCTCGGACTCCACCCTCGCCGAATACCCCACCATGGGCCAGACGTAGAATCGAAAGTAGAGAAAGCTGGGCACCACCAACAGAGCCCAAACAACGCGAATCGTCCTCTTTTGACTCAAGATGCTGTCACTTGGAGCATTGAGACAGGTCTGCAACAGGTGCAAGGCCAAGCTACTAAAGTCCAATGCAAACATCCCAATGGCGCCCAATCGACGGAGCGATGAAAAGACATAGGATATGCTCAAGAAGAACAAGGACAGGGTATGTTGAAGCATAGCTCGCGGGAGAATCAAAGTCCGGAGCAAAGAAAGCCAATCCTTTTTCTTCTTTTTTTGCTTCTCACCATCACTGCCGCCATCTTTCAAAAAGAACAGCAGCAGGACTGAAAAGATGTGGAACGCGCCAGAGTGCAAATGATAGGATGCCTGGACCAGGAAGAATCGTCTTAGCAACGTATTCCGGTGGTCAAAGTCGGAATCCAAGTTTTTGGCCAGCGCCAGACTCCCACTCAAATCCCAACACCGGGCGGTGCTGCCGTGTCCTCCGACATACGAGGGCCAAAAGTCGGCATCACGAAACAGATACCATGCCATGGTACAACTGCAGGCACAGTAGAGCAGCCGAAAGACTGCCGTAGCATACCGCGGTGCGGCAAACAATCGTTGTGGTTTGCGTCGAACAACCGGGGGAGGTTGTTTGAGGGTTGTTGTTGCCCCCAACAATGGATCCACGAGATCTTGTTGATCCAGGGGATGACTGCTATGATCCATGTCGTTGTCGTTGTCGTCATCACTCAGGCTGTGTCCATCTTCTTCTTCTTGGACAGCGGCCGCAGCCGCGGCAGCCAGACTTGCTGTGCTCCCACGTCGTTGCCACGGCAAGCTTTCTTCGTCAATATTATTATGACTATAATCCGCATGGTCCATCATGTCGGGTGTAACGGACCGCTGTTGTTGGAACAGCATGGGCATACTAATGGGCTTTGAAGGAGTCTCCATCCCTGACAGGTCATGCTCACTGTCATCCACAAGGGGTCGGTTGTCACTGTCGCTATCTCTGGGTCCACAGCCTCCCAGAAAGCCTCCCATTTGTATTCGCTCCGAGGAGATTGTGTTTCGGTTGTGAACCGGAGTGTCCATGGAGAGCTCCCAGTCATCAGTGGGAGTACTAGGACCAGAGAGGCGTCGGATGATGGGTGTTGGTTGGTGTTCTTCTTCGCGGTCATGATCGTTCGAGTAGGAGAGTCTGGCTCGAGTGGGAGTTTCCAGGCGCTGCTGCAGGGCAGTAGGTCCATCTTCTTCGGAGGAGTCATGATCTGGAAGATTCAATAGAGGCAACGATGGCAAGCCTGCGGGAGGTTGGGAAGTAGAGGAAGCCGATGTTTGAAGCTGACCTTTGGAAGCAAATTCTCGATTGAGAGATTCCCAAGTGATGACACTTCTAGGAGTTTCCCTGGGCGTCAAGGTTTTCTTATACTCTGACGACAAGAGATGGATGGATTTGCAGCGGACCAAGGCTTCCATCTGCTGGGGTGCCAGGTTGTTGGGTACCAGAATGTGGACGAGCAGCACACGACACAGAGCCATGAAAAATGTCAAGCATACAATCACATAAATGTCGGACAAATAGGTATCGGAAGCAAAGTTGTCAAATGTCAATTGTTCGGGTTCTTCGTCGTCTAGAGACGGCAAGACGCGGCCCAAAATATTCCAGCAAATCCAGGTGGATCGATGACAGATTTGGAGTTGGACTTCTTCCCACAGAAACGACACAGAATTACGATCCAAGTTCATAATCATGCCAATCATGGAAGGCAGAAACAGACACAACCCGTAGAGCGTCACGCCTTCGACCAACGCCATCCAAGACGAATTCTTCCGGGGTTTGCCATTGTCCAGGAGCTTCTTGGTCGTCCGGGTGATGATTTGCTTTTGCTTGATCATTCGTTTGACGGGTTGCTGTTCCTTTCTCTTTTGCGCCTTTTTGATCTGCGTCTGCTCCAACAGATCGTCTCCTTGCAGTTGCTTTCGAGCAATCGTCACACCCAACGGCGATACGCCAAACGACGCTTCTGGGTTCTCCATCATGAATGATGAATCTTCAGTCTTCTCGATTCGATTGGTGAGTCAAATTCTAAACTAGCAGGAGCGTGGGAATGTAAAGCACTGTCTCGATTGTTGCTCGTTCTCTCTTCTTCGATGAATGCCCGCCACAGAAAGAGCGTAGCCAGCAGCGATCCATCAATGCAATGACTTTCTTTCTCTACGCGGCGGCGGGTATTGACCACTGGGTGTTGTTGTAGAAGCCAAACAGACGATCCTGTCCCATGGAGCTCTGTGGTTGGTCAAGCATCAGATTCAACAAGAAAGAGCTCGAGAAAGTGTCACGAGAAGCGGAAGCAAACGTCCCAAGAGGGGTCTTCCGGATTGATTGGATTTACCAATTGTTATTTGACTGTTTTTCATTAGACTAAAATTGTCAAAATAAGGTTTTTTGGTTCTTTTGTCCCAAGCTATCCACTAAATTCATTTATATTTTATCAACAGGACGCTCAAATCATGATGTTGCACCTCATTCGGAGCACGTCACTGCGAAACAGCCCTTGGAAGCTCAGGTAATGTTACAGTTTTACCTCACCTTCTAAATCACACAGGCTTCTTAAACGCAAGGTCCAGTCCTTCGTCTCAAAAAGACAGGAGCAACGGAACACAAACTCTGAAGCTCTCGACCATGGCGTCTGTTGTTGGACACGGACGACAACCACCAGCCAAACGGCAGCGACAGGCGGGTCCTGTTCACACTGAAAGCAGTCTTCGTGTTCCTCGTGGTGTTGCTGCAAGCACTGAAGATGAAGCTACAGCCAAGCGCAAGTTGAGAGAGGCAGAATTTGATCCCAATGATTGTCGTTCCGCCATTTTTCCACCAACGACACTGTGGCCGCCTGGAGTTGACCTGTTTCATTCCATCACACCAATGACATACTTCTGTTTCTATGGTGACCTTCCCATGTGCCGGTACGTTCACAGTCATGGTGGGGCTACCACCAGAGCCGGTGGGGAGTTTTGGTTTCCAATGTACGCAGCGATTTTCAAAGGCAACATGGAGGTTGTGCAGTGGTTGTTTCAAAATGGAGCCAAGGAAGACGTTGTGGCAAAGAATTCCCGCAACCTCAGCCCCTGGTGTGTGTGTTGGAACAATTGTGATTCTTCCTGTGATTCTGTTTGGAGGGCCAAGCGCTTGACAATTGCAAAGTGGCTGTTGGTGCAAGGAGCCATTGGGCTCGATGCACGCGCATTGGCATGCAACCTGAAGAGCGAAGGTATAGATGGAAGGTGGAAAGATCATCGTCCTCAGGCTCTATCGTGGTCAACGGGTGTCATTCAAACCCATGATGCTTTTCAAACATTTCTCATGGGAACATTGGTTGCCCCAGACTTTTCCATGAAGGCTCTGCATGCCAAAATGGTGTCAAAGCTCGGCTCGAAGGATGCAGCAGACATTTTTGTTGAGAGTGCTGGCAATGAGACAGGAAAGGTACTGTGGGAAAAGATGATGGAACCGCGCAAGGAATCCCCTGTTCAGCTTCTGAGTGGCAATGTTGGCGTGTTGAGATCCATTGCTGATTTTGTGGGAGCAGTTGCCTTGAGTGCCGGAGAGCTTCAAACCCATCGCCGACTGGCAAAGCAGTTGCCTCAAAGTTGGATTGAGTATCCCAATGACGAATTCCGTGTCGCAGATGGGTCGGACTTCTCTGACGAAGATGACGGGGACTACTAAGAAAGGGATCGTTGCCTTCCCTCCTTGTGTTTCCGTCACTTGGGGACATTCTGGACAGCCAGGCTGGACACAATCTGCCTTGCCTGGACTACTGGTATTATTATTGAATTGAAAGAAAGCTTGTGAAATGGCATAACGTAACACTGGTTGTTATCACGACGCTGCCTAGTAATTGCTCTGACTCTACGTCCAGTCTAGACTTGTCTCGTTGGACAATGATCGTCTTCGTCAATGCCTTACGGTAGCTCCTTGACGTCCCTGTCATTCTTTCATGCATGGAAGAGATTCCATTCAGTTGCTTCCCGTGTTAGAGCCCAGGATTCATGCATGGTAAAGATTCAGTTGCTGCCACATGAATACCCGGTAGTTTCAACAGGACGAGGAGAACTTCGAGAGCGTAGGAGAACTTCGTGGTGACAATGCCTGGATGGATGGACGACTTGAAGAACTCACCGGGCTTTTGATGTCCTTTTGGAAGGCAGATCACAGTTCCCTCCGTTCTGTCAAACCTACCCTGGGGTCTTTCGGGCGCCGAAGTAGTGGGTTGTAATGCTCTACGGTACTACCGGTACCAGCCAGAGGTCTCCTGAAATGCCGTCACGAGAGACGAGTCGAGTCAGTCGATTGTGGCGTCATGGGAGATGTCCCTGGATGGTGAGCTTGGTGGCATTCACCGGTTAAACAACACATAGTGCGGTGAATAGATAATATACTGTCTTACAGTACGGTGTGGTGAATTGTAGCCAACCCTGCGTTTAGCTATAGATCTATGCTTGCAAATCCGTCAATCCGTCCATCCTCGTAGCTGCATAGCCAGGGTTGTCATCCCCACCACAACAACATCGTTGTTGCTATTATGGTGGCAATCATCATCACAAGATGACTTGCCTGTTGCCTCGGGACTCCTTTCGACTTTCCCTCGTACGAATCCATATGTACCAGCGAGTGTGGTTCCATCCCATCCACTCCGTTTGGGGTGGTTTCTTGATTGGTGGATGGTCCATCTTTGTTATTGTTTCGAACGTTTTGCGTTGTTTTGGGTTTGGCAGACGAGGAATCATTGGGCCGTCCCTGTCGCGTCCAAATGTTGTATTCCAAGGCTGGGTGATTTCCTTCTTTTTGTTTTTGCTGCTGTTGCTGTATTAGCTGCAGTCCGTTTTGTCTGGAAATGCAAACGGGGTTTTCAGTGCACGATACCACGGCCGGCCAAGTGCATACCTGCTGGTTCCTGTCAAAGAGCAGTCCTTGTGGACATGGAATAGGTGCCTGATCTACGACTTGTCCAAATTCACAGTTGTAAAACTGTGCGCAATTGTTGTGTGGCAGCACTCCCGTGTATCCGGTGGGGCAGCAAAGACCAATATTGTTGTTGTTGTTGGGATCCGAAGGAGGAGGACCTGGCGGAAGAGGACGAATTCCTGGAGGTTGGTAACTGCCATTGCCCGAATTGGAAGTATCTGGAATTGTGCCAGCTGATTCAGTTTCAGTGGCATTGTCATCATCTATGGTGGATAGATCATCAAGCTGTATGAGATTGACGAGTACACTGTTTCGTAAGACACCCAGTTCTTGCTGTACGACAGGGATTCGTTCGTTCATGAGATCAATGCACTCTTGTACTCCTGGAGCTTGTGGCCTGGGTATGCTTCCTTCTGGGCAACGGCAATCTGGTCTTGTGTCAGTGCTGTTGTAATCTTGCTGAAGTTTCCTCGTCGAGAGTATGCGTGTCTTGAGTTGCACTGGATTGATCCTGCGCATTTGCATGTCCTTACTAGTAGCCAAGCGCCGTCTAAATGCATCGTCGTACAGCTCAAAAGATCCAGCATCAGTGACGGGGCAGCCTCTGCAAGTTCCCACTGTTTGATACATGACAGTGACAGAGCCCATGTAATCAGAAGATTCCCTGTCACCAGAAGAGTTGGTGGTATTGGTGGAAACTTCGTTTTGAATCTGAAGGATTCTTCTTGCAGCTCTTCTGGTATTATTCAAGTCTGCATCTTCTTGATCTCCATCTTGATCAGTACCGGTACCATTCTGATCTGGAGTAAACCAATCTTCCAGAGCTTTGGTCTGATTGACATTGAGAGATTCATTGTAGTAAATGAGATCTTGTAGAGTGTAGTAGTCGGTTCCATTGAATTGAGCTACAAAGTTGACCCGATTCAATTTCCGGTGATAAGCATCACAGTTGAGAGCCGTAAGAGAATTATAGATCCCCATGAACTCTCCTTTCAGCACCTTTCTGTCGAGCAGAGGCAGCAAATCACTAGAGCCTTCTAAGAGCATTTCAGTGAGAGCTGTAAACTCTACCAAATCATCACTGCAGTTCACTGCCACCAACGTGACATCCGGCAATGCACTACCAGTGCTACCTGGAAGATTGGGACCGGAACCTCCATAATAATCTCCATAATCATAGTCACTCCCATCTACATCTTCATCTTGACCATGGATCACTTTCACTCCAGTAAAACCAGCCAAAAGCAGAAACCACTGGAACCAAATCAAAGATACCTTCATCTTATTACATGCATTTCACAATGGCAAGAAGGCAGGAGGCAAGGATAACTTCACGAAAAATGAGCCTCTGCCAGTTCACCTCTGGCAGTTCACTTTCCCCTGTCCGCGGATCTCTGTGCTCTCTTGAAACAAAAATAAATGAGACGCTCAAGAAAACATGGCTTAAGAGTTAACAAAGCTTCCACAGACTTAAAAGTAAGTACCGTACCAATTTTTAAAATTGCATGCTTTTACTCTGAGTACCGTACCGACTCATTGAAAGGTACGGTATGGGTAATGAGAAATTCAAAGTTGACCTAGCCATTATTTCTTTCTGTTATCTGTTTGAGATGAGTGTTAAACCTATAGTTGCCATTTGAAAGTAGAGCATTAACACCAAACACGGTCCATATACCCACAAGTGATCGTTTTGAGGAGCTTAATGGAATTATTTAACGAAATGACTGAATGACTTAGAGGGAAAGTGGAAAGACTGGGTATACACCATTGAAAATGATGCATGTTTCGAAATTGAAAATCGCTCGAAAACACTGCATCACCACTTGGGGAGTGCTTTTTCTCCACGGCAAAGTGATAAAATCAACAAACAAATGATACAGACCCATGCAGCACAACAAGGGGCATGGGGCTGTAGCATTTGTTTTTGTGTTTTTTCATCTTTTCGTCCATCTATTTCGCTCCCCAATTACAATACCAGACTCTTTCAATGAGTCGGTACCGGTACTATGATGGGTACTCTATTTTATTAAGATAGCTAGTACTGTTCAACTTCAACCGTTCAATTTAAGACTTCAACCGTTCAATGGGGGTCCGCTTTTTCAAGGGGGTTTTCGACTGGTACGGTACTGTACCTGGTACCGTACCGTACCGAAAAGGAGAAGCAAGCCAGCTATCGTAATTTTTGGCTGAGGATGCGGTGGCCACCACCCAATGCCACCATGCCAACACAATCTTTGTTGCTGTCGTCTAGCTAGTAGCTACTATTGATGAAGGCAAAGCCTCTCTTCTTCATTTCGTCTCTTTTGGCTGCTAACAGAAGAAGGCTACCGGTAGAGTCGCTCTTATTGCGAGCAGCAACGAGAAGAAGAATCTGTAGCAGTACCTCCAAGTTAGAGGGTAGCACCAAAAGCGTGGACAACATGGGAGGACGAGGCGATTACTACAAACAAAAATATGGAGGAGGAGGTCGTGGCCGAGGAAGAGGTGGCCGAGGACGTGGTGGTGGTGGTGGTGGAAGAGGTCGTGGAAATGGCTACGATGGAGGAAACAGCAATAACAACAACAACAATGGAGGATCCATGGCCGATCTTCGTCGCTTGCTGCAACAAATGGACGGCCGTCAGTATCCCTCCTATCATGACTTGGAGACCACCAAGGGCTGGGTGAACACGGAAGCCGGCATTACACTCTACGTGGGCCGTGCTCAGTCGGATCCTTTTGCTCCACCCACGCGATGCCGTGTGGTTCTCCAAAACAGCGTGGCTCAAATTCCACCCACACTCTATTCCAATCCCATTCGAGCCATGGCCACCAGTGACTATTTGCGTCACCGGGACGGCTGCAAGTCAGCTTTGATCTGCCAACGCTCAAAACAACCGTCTCGGGGATGGGCATTCCCAAGGGTGTCACTCTCATTTGCGGAGGAGGATTCCATGGCAAATCGACACTACTGCAAGCACTGCAGTTGGGAGTCTATCTCAAGCTACCAGGGGATGGGCGAGAATTCTGTGTGACGAGTCCGCACGCCATGAAAATTCGAGCAGAGGATGGCAGAGCGGTTTCTTCCGTGGACATTTCGCCCTTTATCAACAATCTGCCCTTTGGAAAAGACACAACAAACTTCACCACTCCGGATGCCAGTGGCAGTACCAGTCAGGCGAGCAATATTGTCGAGGTACGTGAGACGAGTAGAGGCGATTTTTGATCGATCTATCGATCCAGCATGCGTCAAGGCAAAGTTATAGAGCTGCCAGCCTTGTTCCTCCGTGGGACCATTCGTAGGCTTGAGCAGTGCGTTTTCTTGCCGAAAAGGAGGTTTTGGTATTGCTACAAAACATAATCATACCAGAGCTGCGTGTATTAGGCTGCCATTGTTCCCAAGATGTGGAGTGGCGGGTACAGTCGCGGCTCTTACATTATTTGATTTGTTTCGATGCGATTCATTCTCACTGCTGCTTTGTGCTTGTTGTGTTGGCTTGCCCTTACCAAATGATTGAATTGAATTGAATCGAATTTGCAGTCTATTGAAGCTGGGGCAACTGCTTTGCTGATTGACGAGGACACCGCGGCGGCAAATTTCATGTGCCGTGATGACAAGATGGTACAACTGGTTGCAGCTGAAAAGGAACCCATCACTCCATTTGTTAGGCTGGTGCGGTCACTCTATCAAGAGATTGGAATTTCATCGGTTCTCGTGATTGGAGGGTCTGGGGACTTCTTTGCTGTGGCGGACAATGTTGTGATGATGGATTGCTACAAAACGCATGATGCGACTGATCGAGCAAAACAGATTGCAGCCCAGGCATCAGGTTCTTCCAACGGGCAACACAGCTGCCAACCAGGTGTATTTCAAAAACTTCGCTCATCCTGCAAGCGATATCCCGTTGGAGATGCCTACAATCCTGCTGGAAAGACAAAAGTCATGTCGAAGATTGTTATCCAATACGGTGAAACGACCTGTGACCTGGCTGGTCTGGAACAGCTGGTGACAAAAGCGCAGACGAACACAATTACCAACTCGCTTCAAAAGATTGCGTCGATAGCGTCGAATGATGGCGTGCCGTTGTCTCAAGTTCTGGATCAGATTGAACAGGCTGTTGCACAGCAGGGACTGGATGTCCTGGCTCCTGGGCAGTTTCATGGCGGGTTGGCAAGGGCTAGAAGGCTGGAGATTGCTGGGGCAATCAATCGACTCAGACGAACGGGGAACATAGTACAGCGATAGCTAGCTAGCTTGGCCCAGTTGCAAAGCAAACAGAAACAACAAGAGACGTTTGTACTAATTTTCTTGCTATAGACAAATGTGCTGATGAAAGCCCCGCCCCTTTTGAAAAAAACTATCTACTTCTTTTGCCGGCGGAACTTGGCAATCTGTTGCTCTTTCACCATAAGCTCATTCCGTTTGATGGCTAAAAGCCTTTCGCGATCAATGGACTTTATTTGCTTCGTCAAGCCGACCTTCATGGCAGCTTGCTCCTTCTTTAAAGACACAATGTTCTCGTGTAGCCGGTGAACTGTGCACTCATAGTATCGACTGATCATAGCTAGTCTCAATCGAAGTTCTTCTGAGCCCTCCACTGAATTCTTTAGGCGCTGCGCCAGTTCATCCACTTGTGTTTGCAGAGAGTCTCTGTTCTCGCGGGCCTTCTCCGCACAAGATGGTCTCTTGACAGACTCTTTCTTGTTTCCCTTTCGTCTTCGAAAGATTGCGGAGATCCCTGACTTGCTTTGATTGGCGCAACTCTCAGACTCTGAACTCCTGGATGTCAGGGATGTTTTCTCATTACTACCAAGGGTTGGAAAGGCCCCAGTCTTTTCCACTGTGCGCATGAGACAAATGCGTTCACGAGACTTGGGGGGATTTGTCACAGTTTTGTTCTCCTTGGCCTCCTTCTCCGACTGTATTTGTGGTGTAGATGGCGAATTCGCCTTTCGTGGCACAGGAGCTGCCACAACTTGAGGTTTCGTCACCATTGAGGGCCCAGGTTGGATTGGCCTGAACTCTTTGGAGAAGGCTTTCTTGTCTTTTGCAGATCGGTTTCCTTTGGGGGTTCCTTCCGATAAGTCCTTCTTCGTATATGAAGGACCCTGCGAGTCATTGGCAATCCCATCTTTCTTTGTTGGAAGGGAGATCCTCCTTACACTTTTCACACTCAGAAGCTTACTATGTCGAGATGGCGTCCCAATGGATGATGAAAGCGTCTTTCTGCTGCCCACACTGGTAGGCTTACAGGTGCGAGTTCCCATCGACGCTGACCCAGGAGGAGAAAAATTCTTACCGCTTGTCACGCTAAAAGGCTTGCTGCTGCGAGAATCCGTTGACGCTGCTGATGGCACAATCGAACCAGTCGTCTCTTGCTTCTCGTTCTCGCGATTATAATAAGGAGAGTCACCATTCTTTTCGAGTTGATTCTTTGATGAAGACGAGGGTACGCAAGCAGGGCCTGTGCTGTCTCTTGGACAAGAAACATTGCCAATTTCCCCAAGCTGAGTGCGGCTCCGTCGACCCGATACCTCAGATACAGTCTTGGTTGATTGCTTCACTGTACTTTCTTTGGCGTTCATCTGGGCGGCAAGTTCCTCCATTTGAGTCGCCTTCCCCTTGCATTGATTTGCCAAGGACCTCAAATCAACCGTTTCAGGAGTGCTAGCCAAGCTGGTGCGTTCTGTTGTCGGTTGCTGAAGATGAGTGGCAGCTGTCTGAAAGGTCCCGCCACTCGACGACTGAGTGACAGAGGAGTTCAATGGAGAGCCCAAAACCTGGCGCTTTACAGTGCTAGCCCTGTCGGCGGCAGCTAATCTTCGTTCTATTTCAAGAGCATCCATATCGGCCTTGAATAAATCACGCTCAAGTTCCATCATGGCCAGTTTGTCGTCCTTCAGTTTCAGTTCTTTCTTCAGATGCTCGATTTGATCTGCCTGTGCCCGAAGCAGCTTCCTCATGGAAAAACATTCATTCTGCATTGTCTGAACCTGGTCAATAGCCAATGCTGCTTCTACTCGTGATGCTTCTTCCCGGATAGCATCCACTGCATCTTGAATGCTCCGTGTTGTTACAGAATCCCTTCCTGACGTGACTTGAATGGTAGATGGTGGTTCTTCGTCATCAACTAGCAGAGATACATCATCGTCGTCATCTTCGAGCAACAACGTGGTTTCGCATCTGGCCAGAGAAGGCAATGCAGAGGACATGGAAGACAAGGATACCCGATCGGAAGAGTGTTTCGTCACGTGTATGGGTGCAGTAAGCTCTGGGTTCCGTCGCTTGTCCAGTACCATGGGATAATCCAGCAGCATGTGCCGAGAGGAAGGAAACGTAATGTCGGAAAGCCCTGCTGATGTTTCAAGAGAGCTGTGATGGATCATTTTGGGCGTATGTTGCGCTTCATCGACATGAACTTCCAGTTCCGGTTCCACGACGAGATGAGACCTGTCTACCCCAATGAGCTCAATCAACTGCTCGTCCATCTGCTTCAGGATGGCGTCAGCAGTCTGCTCCGCCATGGCTTCATCCCCGACTATATACTCGCTCATCGGCAGTAGCACTGGCTCTGTCATTGTTAGAAGGTTGGCTGTTTCCCACGCCAGGTGTTCTTAGAAGTGAGATTCGAATGCTCGGAGCGTCGCAGAGTTGCCACCAAGGTAGAGACCCGCCCTTTTTCGCCGCTACTCCACAGGCAAAGACGAGCTAAACGTAAGCAAGATGTAGGAGTCTCATGCTAGCATGTTGTCGAGTTTGTCTCCCGATAGAGGGAGGGTATGTGTATCGATATCTGGTACCAATATGACTTTTTCTCAAGTGGTCAAGATCTTATTCTGCCATCATGAAAGCAACGGTGGAGTCTGGCGGGAGTTACTTCGCGAGCCTGCCGGCACCTCCAAGATCTTTCGTCGAAGGGTCCAACGGCAGATGGACAGCATGTGCTTAGGTTTTTGGCTATTGCACGCCATAAAAGACAGTACTGGCTAGCTACCGTAGCTAGCTAGTAGCGGTAGAGGCAGCCCTCTCTCACCCTTTGCGGAATGCCTGAAACCTGTGAACCATTTGCCGGGTACCCCATTTGTCTACTAGTACTAGTATGCTATGCATTATATTAGGAACCTGGAAAAGTGTGGCAAAAGGTGGTCCGGTACAGTACGTTTTGACTGCTTGGGTTGTTTTGGCTACCAGCGGTATGGTATCACACGCCATAAAAGACAGTAGCCAAGTCTCAGAATTCCTAAACCTGTGTAATCATAGCTAATCATTTATCTATGCATTATATGGACCTGGTACGTTTTGATGGGCAGCTGGGCTTTGGAGTTGCCAGCTCCTTTAGTAGCGGCGAGCTGGTCGGCGGGGTCTGCCATAGTGATCACGGGGGCCAGCAACCTGTCCTGCACGTCGAGCTACTAGTAAAAGGTGCCCTCAAAGGCACCCTGGAGGTGAGATGTGTTCAATCCCTCAATTCTTGTGCTAGGCCTTCCTTGAGTTGGCTAGCTAGAGGCAGAGGAAGCAAAATTCCAGCATGCCATCGTTGTGCTGGCAATATACACCGCTGCATGTGGCGGCTATCTCTTCATTTTTGCCAACTTTTCATCTCTTTGCCTTCGGCCTGCACTATTGGGCGGAAGGTAGGAATGCGCCAGGTCAATCCAATAGTCTTTTGTCAGCTTTTCATAACGATATCCTCCTGGTGGCGGTTCCAAAATAATCTTTTCGTACGCATTTTCCAGAAACTCGGGCGTAACTTGGTCGTGATGCTCCACCCATGCCACAGGCAGATCCCGCAGTGTCTCGTTCATCCACCCGTCTGTTTCCATAAAACCCAAATGAGCAATCACCGGAATCGTGCCCAAATAGAAGGATTCCCATATGCGATAGCAATCTAATCCAAGTCCAGATGGAGCCCAGACGAATTTGGAACGAATCATCTGTTCATAGTTCATGTTCATGGACTTCTCTCCTTTGATACTCTGGAAGAGATAGTAGGTGTTTTGGAGGAACAGTGGATTGTCAGGACGAGGTTTGGTCATTTCCGTTACATTGTGGACAGATAACCCCTCGATTTTCTTGCCGGAAATACTGGCTTCAATGGTAGCATCCGAGGCATTGAAATTTGCCAAGAGCTGTTTCATGGGCTCAATTCGTTGCCCCCAAGGCTTTACATTCACCATGATCAAGTCGGACCGGTTTGCCTTGGACAGGTCGTATTCCTTGAGGAACTTGGCCATATGGCCACTTGCAAACCGCGGGATTCCCAGAGGGATGGATTTTATTTTCTCATGCCGCATGACTTGAAACTGCGTTGTGATAATAGCGAGGGTATCGGGGTGGTTGACATAGTCGAGAACAAATTCCATGGAGCACCCCTCGCCCTTCCATGTGTGAGGTCCCGAACGAAACTTTCCAGTGTATTTGGGAATCCTGGAGGAAAGGGCTCCAAAATCGGCATTAAAGCGGACCAAGCCAACATGGGGCCAGGAGGCATTTGGGTTGTTTTGGCGGTACCTGGTAACGACTTTGGCAACGGTACAGAGAGACTGCTCAAAGCTGTAGAGAAAGCTGTGATCCTGCAGATTGGCATCTTCCAGATTGGTATTCTCGTCTTTTATGGGCACATACTTGAATTCATTAGCCCATGATTTGAAAGCACCTGCATCATGCCATCGCATAAGGGAATTCTTCTTTGCCATGCCTCTCACCTGCTCATAGTGATGCTTATAAAAGGCGGCAATTCGTTCCTCTTTGGATGGTAAAGAAGAAGAAGAAGAAGAATCTGCTTTGTTCGACTCTGCGGGGGCATCAGCAGCCGCCTTTTTCGTTGCATCTTCGCTTGGGGGGTCAGGTGAGACGACAGTATTCCTGAGAGAACCGGTACTCTTGGTTTTGCCAGGGTCGGCCTTTTGGTTCGGGGAAGACGTGGACTGGGCCTCTTCTGGATGATCGCTGTCGCCACTTGCATTTTGCTTGACAATCACCTTGTCTTTATCTCGCTTGCTCCTGGAGCCGTTTGTCCGAAAAGCCTCTTCTATAACAGTAGTGTTGTTGGCCAAGTGACGAACAGAGGACGGTTGTTTCAGCTGGAATACCTGGCTGAACTTCTCCTCCTCTTGAAAGAGGACAAGGGACATCACCAACATAAACAAAAAGAGAGGGACAAAGCGCTGACGAGATAGCGACATGATTGCGTGGGTGTGTTTGTGTGGACTTGGATCGAAACTAAGGATAGTTGTGGTCTGTGTGTTTCGTTTTCGTTGCGGTGGCAGGTTACCACACGGTACCGTAAAAGGCATTCCTTTGCCAGGTTTTGCACCTGGGCAAAATTGGGGGCTTTTTGGTGCCAGATGTTTTGCGCGACTAAAGAAAAGTGGAGGTCCCACATTCAATTCCCACGCGCTTGAACAATTTTCCAAAGAGCACCAAGCATAAACAGCACCTCCAGCGGTACCCGTACCTTAACTCTTGCTGTGATCCTTGTGACTTGCCATTGAGGTACATGTAGATTACCTGTGTTGTTGGTGTTCAAACTCTATGGTACTATATAGCTAGCTAGTACGGTATCACAACTGCCTGTACCGGCCATTAGGATGGGAATGAAGGATGTTGCGACGAAAGCAAATGGAGAAGTGACAATAAGCTTTGGTGAAACCACAATAAGCTAACCTAGCAAGAAAAGCGCTGCAATAACGATGATTGGAAGAGTATGGTGAGAGCACACTGCAGGCAGTTCCAACAGGTTCCCCAACAGGAGCAATCCTCTTTTCAAGGCACTTACCAAAAGGCAACAAGACCACATATGCATATTATGCTCAACTGACTGCTCCTTCTGCATCTACCGAGGAGCTAGCGGACCGTAGTGTGACGCGACGAAGGGCAGCTACTGCACGCACGCACGCTACGATGAAGACGTGACGGTACGATTGCACTCTCCTTACTTTCGCAATAGATTGTATCTCCTTTATATGATTGTAGTTATCTATCAAAGAGAGTTCACAAGTTGTTCGTTTTACTGGGATGTCGCGCCACTGAAGGCTGCGTGTCTATTATTTTGCTTTTGTTCTGGGTAATCAAATCAAGGCCTTCTCCATGTTCTTATTCCAGTACTTCCCCATCTCTTGCTTAGTCCTCCTCATCAAACTCATCACCATCAGATTCACTGTCGGATTCGAGCTTGTACACAATAGGCTTTGCACGGGCTCTGCCACTGCGAGCACGTGGAGGAGGTGTGGCAATGTCCTCATCACTGCTGCTCTCCTCGTCAGCACTATCTTCAAGAACGGATCTCTTCTTTGGAGCGGCCTTGGCCTTTGGAGCGGCCTTGGCCTTTGGAGCAGCCTTGGCCTTTGGAGCAGCCTTTCCCTTGCCCTTTGGAGCGGCTTTGGCCTTGCCTTTGCCCTTTGCTGCGGGTTTCATTGGAGACTCATCCTCCGAGTCAGAGTCGTCGAGCTCAATGGGCTCCTCCTTCTTGGCGGCGGCCTTGCCCTTTGCTGTCTTGGCCTTTTTGGAGGCGGATGCAACCGACTCATGGTCGCTATCTGACAAGGAGGGCGAGTCCTTGCGCTTCTTTTCAGCTTTCTTCGCAACGGGAGTCACTGACACGTTCTTGCTGAACTCCTCCGCAAGGGCATCTTGGGTAGGAGAGGAAGGGGGCTTTGCAACAGCGGCGGGCTTCTTAGCCGGTGCCTTCTTAGCGGGTGCCTTCTTGGCCGCGGGTTTCTTGGCCACCACCTCCACATCAGAAGCATCATCCATATCACTGTCCCATTCGTTGGACTTCTTCTTGGCGGGTGCCTTCTTGGTTGCTCGCTTGCGAGGAGCAGGCTTTCGTCCGCCGCCTTTTTTCTTCATTGCCGCGTCGCGAGCCTCTTGCTCTCGTTCCTTGGAAGCCTCTACTCGTTTGTCGCGGTCATCAAGAGCCTTCTCGATGGCCTCCAAATCATTGAGCCAAATCTGGGTGGGTTCCGTAGCTTCGAGATCCTCCAATTCCTTGGTCTTCTCGGCCAGTTCCTCCCGGAGTTTCTCGGCCTTTTCGAACGTCAACGACCAAATCTTCATTCCGAGCAAGTACTCGTAGCCCTTGGCGAGTGTGGCAATGTTCGAATCATCGGTTTCGTCTTCTTCTGGCTCCTCGCCATCGTTGCCAGCAGCGCTATTTTTGGGATCTTTTGGGAACAAGTCGTAGCCACTGTCCTTCAATTCACCCAACAGTTCTTTGCGCTTGCGACTGCTGACCACAAGCTCACCACGGCAGACCTCCTCGACAAATCGAGCCTTGTTCGACAACATGAGCTTGTCGCGCTTGAGCTTCTCAACCAAGAGCGCCTTTCGCTTGTGGTAATAATCTAGGCGGAGGTCGTAGAAGGATCGCATAATGGCTTCTGCCGAGTTGAACTTCGTGATAGTGCCGGTAGTATCAAATAGGTTCATGTTGGTAGTGCTCAGTTTGCTTTCTAGCTTGAACTTGCCAACGAGTCCACCTTTGCCGTTCACGAATTCATCAATCTTGGCCTTGTCGGCTGTGACCGTGAAGGCCACTGTCGTGTCCGTGTGATTCTCGGAGAAATCGGTGATCTCCGGTTCCTTCTCCTTCTTCTTTTTGTCGCCCTTTTCTCCTACCAACATCTTCTCCAAGAACTCCTTGTAGTTTTGGGTCCATGTGCGGATAGGGAGCTCTGTAATGCGGAGCGTTTCTTCGCCCGTACGCTCGATGGCTCCTTCCACTGTGTAGCTGCCACTCTTCGCCGATGATTTGATGATGCTTCCTGTAAAGCCATAGTAGTCGGGTTCAAGCAGTGGAGGCTCTTGGCCGTTGATCATCTCTCGAAGGTTTGAAATGATCTTTCGCACGCAGTGATTTGGAACCTGAGAAGACCAACCAGTTCCGATTCCGTCCGACCCATTGACAAGCACCATGGGAATGACTGGTACATAAAACTCTGGCTCAATGGACATCCCATCGTCCTGGAGATAGTTCAGCAAATCTTCGTCATCCGGATGAAAGATGGTGCGCGTGATAGGTTCAAGCTTTGTGAAGATGTAACGAGCGCTGGCGGCATCCTTTCCGCCCATTCGTCGTGTACCGAACTGGCCATTCGGGGACAGTAGGTTCACGTTGTTGCTTCCGACGTAGTCTGACGTGCCAGTAAAGACCAGTTAGTTGATGCATGGAAATTCGCTCTCGGAACTACTGCTCTACGTAGTGTCGGGGCTTACCTTGTGCAAGGCCAATGATGGTCCCCATCAGCGACGCCTCCCCGTGATGGTAGGCAGACTTCTCTCCAATATACCCGGCAAGCTGGGCCACCTTCATTTCCTTCTTGAGGTTCCTTTTGAAACAAGCAAAGAGAACTTTGCGCTGAGAAGGCTTGAAGCCGTCCACAAAATGAGGGATCGAGCCTGTGTGCAGAAGCACGGTGTGTTTGGTGAGCTTTGTTGAAAGTGGACGAACAAACATGTACGAAGCAAGCAGATCGTACGATCACTTACGCATGTTGTCCGATTGAGAGAAGAGAATAAACTCCCTGTTTACGAATTCACTGAAAGTGTGAGTGTGAAAGAGGAAGAGTATTAAGGAGTGTTAGTTGGAATCGAGTTGGTGAGTTACGAGAAACAACGCAGAAGAAAGGTACCGTACGTGCACCTACCTGTACTTGAGTCCTTCCTTGGGGACACTTCCATAATCCAGGAACAGCTCATCCTCTTTCTTCAAATTGCTGAGCAGCCAATTCTTGCGGTCTTCGACACGTTTCTTGGCAAAGACCAAATCAATCAAGTCCCCGCCTGAAGAACTAACAGGCTTGTCGGGAACGATAGCGTCCTCGTCAAGTTCCTCCACATCAGACGACTCCTCTTCTTGTTTCACGATGGGCTCTATGACATCCGTTGAGAGCTTCTGGAACTTGACTTCATGTGTCTACGAGTCGAGTCGAATCGAAGGGAATCAATCACCAAAGGAAGAAGCATGAGTATTGAGTATGACGCAAAAGGGGAAAAGCAGGTATCTCGCAGTGTGTTTTACTTACCTCCAAATGTGCAAAGTACTCCTTCGCTTCCTCCGAAGTCGATGTTCCAAGACCCTTATAATACTTGATAGTGAAGCCCTTTGCCTCATCAGTCTCCATCCAGTTCTTGACTTCTGGCAGCGTAAAGAAGGTCTTGGATTGTCGTCCCTTCGTTGCCTTGACGATAGGCGTGATGAATTGCTCAAGAAAGTTGAGATCGAGCAAGCTTGGCCAGAAATGATGAATGAAATTGACCACGAGACCTTTGATGTGACTCCCGTCGTGATCTTGATCGGCCATGATCATCAAACGACCATATCTCAGCTGCTTGATACTAGTTTCATCGTAGGTGTTTCCGAACTTGAGCCCCACGATTTCGACGAGGTTTTTGATCTCCTCGTTCTTCATTATCTGATCCTTGCTTGCATCTCGTACATTGAGAGGCTTTCCACGAAGAGGAAAGACCCCGTATCTGTCCCGGCCTACCACCGACAATCCCGACATGGCCAATGACTTTGCACTATCTCCCTCGGTGACAATCAAAGTACATTCCAAACTCTTCGCGGTTCCCGCAAGATTGGCGTCGTCAAGCTTTGAGATCCCATTCAGTCTGACTCGTTTGACTCCACCCTTTCTCTTGAGAGCCTTGTCCTGCCTGGACAGCAAGGTTTCTAGAATAGCATCAATAATTCCACCACTTTTCGCGGCGAGCTTCTTGAGGAATGCGTCCGTGAGTTTGACTTTCGACTTCTTCTCCCATTTGGCTGGCTTCAAGGTCATCTTTTCCTTGGACTGGGAGTCGAATGTTGGGTTGGCAATGAGACAGTTGATGAAGACGCATAGATGATCCTTGACACGGGCCGGTGTGATTTTGCATCCCTTGTGTTGCTTCTCCACCCTCGTTTGAAGGAACTTGGCGGCTTGGTTGAGGATGAAATCAACGTGCTCGCCTCCAATCGGTGTGGATATTGCGTTCACAAACGAAACATGCTGCATTTTTGGTGTGTCATCCGTAGACAATCCCACTCCAACTTCCCAGTCTCCAATCGTTTCGTAGGCTACCAGCTGATTGAGATCCCGAAAGAGCCGACTGTAGTCCTGGAATTTCTTGATGGGCAGCGTCTTTCCATTCAAAATCACGTTGAGCTTCTTGCCATGCCGATTGACCATGCAAGCTGCAATATCGTAGGCGCGTTTGGAAAAGAGACCGACAGTGTCTTCATCAAGCTTCTGCATCTGAAAGCGTCCCAAGTCGGGTTTGAATGTGATCTTGACGTAGTCGCCCTTCTTCTTCTCGGCGGCAGTGCAGTTCTTGACAATGGGCTTGCCTATTTCTAGCATGTTGTTTCGAAAGACTTGCTTGAATTTGCGGCCGCGTTCCGTGTCCATGCATTCGACAGTGAATTCCGTGGAGAAGACATTGGTCAACTTGGCTCCAAATCCATTTCGTCCTCCGGTCGTGCGCTTCTCGTTTTCGTCGTCAAAGTTGCTTCCCGTCAAGAAATTGCCGAAAATCATGGTAGGAACGTACATATCTTCGTCCTTGTGAATCTCTACCGGAATGCCTTTTCCATTGTTCTTGACAGAGACCGTGTTGGCCTCAGCGTCAATTTCAATTTCGAGAACGGACATTTCGGGGTCGCGCTGTTTGTTATCCGCGGCATTGACCACAATCTCGTCAAAGATCTTGTAGAGACCAGGATTGTACGTGATCTTCTTCTCGACGATTTGGTCGCTGTCGCTGTCCAGAATGAACATCAAATCTTCTTTGAGTTCAACGCTTCCAACGTAGGTATCGGGACGAACCAAGATGTGTTCACGTTGATCCAACTCTGTCGTCATCGTGGAGAAAAAAGGCATCGAATCGCGCAAAGTCAGATCGTGCGAATTGATGGTAACAACAACACAAGCACGAAGCAGCAAGAGGATCTCAACAGATAACAAGGAACTTACTCTGATAGGTTTCTTCGATCGTTCGTTTGTTTGCCGGTCGCTTACTGGCAGGATGGTTTTCGTCGTCATCGTCGAGATCGTCGTCGCTGTCATTGTCGATCGTGTTGCTCTTGTCGGCAAGAGCGACAGCCTTTCCCTTGGCCGCCGGTGCTTTCTTCTTGGCAGCTGGAGCCTTGGCCTTTCCTTTTGCTTTGTTTCCACGCCCAGACGACACATTTTCCTCTTCCATAAAGTCGTCCTCGTCGGAAGCCTCCAACTCGGAGAAGTGCTCCTCCTCCTCCTCTTCCATGAAACTCACTTCGCTATCGGACGCCATTGTTGCTTTCTCGGTTGTTACTCTTCTATTGATACGCCTATGATCTCCTCGAAACAGATGTTACTTTCCTTGCTTTTTGTTGTTGCTTTGAAAGAGGTTGACCCACCGCGATGGCTCTTCCTCAGATCAGTTTTGTGACAAAAAGGCAAAGAGGTTCCTCTCGGAGCTCGATTTCGGAAGTAAAATGTGGAGCCCGCGAAAACCTGATGAAACACGCGGGCTTGCACCCTCTTTAAACAACGAACCAAACGTTACATCTACCCTAAGTACAAATCGTGGCGGTTGTCACAAGCATAATATCGTTCCACTAATTTCTGTTTGTCATTTGTACGGTACGGTAAGCTGTAAGGTCAGTACCGGTACATACGGTAAAGTTCATACTGTATGTTTCGTGTCCTTCCTTTTCGGAGTGTTTTCGCTCAGGATGATGCATAAGATACCGGTACCGGTACAGTACGTACCAGACAGCAGTAACCGTTCGAAGATTCAGATCTTGACTAAACAGTTTTAAGTTGATGGGTCGGTACTCGTAAAGTATCTGTTAACGTGATTGCCTTTGAAGGTTCGATCTAGCTCCGTAGGAAGCGGATGAGATTCAATCATTCAGTCTCCCCTCGCATCCTTTGCTCTTGCCTTCCCTCCGAACATCGTTCAGTACATTCGTTGGTACTGGTACCCCCAGGGCAATCTCTCACCTTTACTTACCGGTACTGGTACCGGTACAATAGAGGACCGGAATGGTATCGCAATGGGGGGCGACCAAGGGTCCCCTTTGAAAGTAGATTAGATTCATTCTGGCATTTAGAGGACCTTGTACATTCAATTGTGAACAAATACCCGCTTCGTAGCCTTCCTTAGTTATTAATAGCTTGTTTGAAACCAGTAGTACTGGTATCAGGTACCGGCAAACAGAACTTGCCTCTTCGAGTAGCTAGAGATGCCCATCGATTATTCATCCTAAACCCTTTGGAGCGTGATTCAAACGGCTTCATCCCAAATTTCCGCGCCCTTTTGCACTGGGGGCTGCCGATACCGTACAAGTGTGATAGATGCTTCCTATGCAGCATGCATTTGTGGTCCGCCTTTGCCCATGGACACGTTGCTCGTTTGAGGGTGGAGGTGGAGGGAAAGGCAAAGAGACAAGACTGTAAAAGCGACAAAATGATATTTATTCATAGCTCTGCTGGCCTGCAAAACATGATGTCAAAACCGATCGCAAATGGCAATATTATCCTTTCTCGACCGTTCCGGTATCTTATTACTTCCGCCCTTTCTGATCAAGAATATGTATCTCATACCATGGTCGCTCTGACATGGACCAAAGCCAGATCCATCCTGAAAGAGCTTCTTGTGGAATATCTAGATGGCCCCTTCCCCAGGGTTATTTCAAATGCCTCGATAACCCATGAGAACGATCCCAACAGGAGATGGTATGTGAAATGGAGGGATTTCTGGCTCAAAAACGACATGGATTTGTATGGAGGATCCTTGATACTCTCTCTTGGACTGTTGGTGTTGGCTTGCATGGCCTGGGTATCATCCGAAGACGAAGAACGCACTTTCTTTAATGCTGCTGCCGAAAGTCGTGTATACCTGTCGCAGCTGTTTGCTGCCATTCTCCTGGCGGCTACCTCCGCCCTGAGTATTTGGATGGTTCGTCGGCGTCGATTCGCGTGTACAAGCGATGTAGACAGTGTCAAACGGCGTGAAATCAAGAGATTCCTTAAGAACATGGAACGGCATGAGGACAAGAAGGAAGACAGCGAAAACGGTTCGTTGAGGTCGAACGTGATGTCTTCCACAATCAAGCTGGAAGGAATCAAGCTGCCTGGAACTTCTTTGACCGATGTTTATCCTGTCTATCGGCTAGCAAAAGAGGGTGGTCAGGGATCTTGGAGTCGACTACCGACGCTCTTGCTAGTCAAGGGCGACTATGTGGCCTTACAAGTTGGAGATATAGCGCCCTCCAAGTGTTCCCTGGTTCATGACAACGAATCCCCTGGTGGGGCTCCACAACAATCCATAGAAGAGGGAAAACGAATCACGTTGGAATCCTTTGCCCGGAGCACACCCAACACATCATTTCCAAAAGGCCGAACGACGTTGCCTGATGGATCAGGGAAGCTGATGGAACTGTGCAATAGTTTGCGCATCTTTGTGCTCTTAGAGAGTCCGCTGGATACTTTTCTTCGGCTCCCCCTTGTGGAACACAAACTACCCTTGGTACTAAGGCAGCTTCAGGCCATCCGTGCATCTCTCTCGGTTCTGGCATTACTACTTTTTATGGCAACAATACTCATCATCTTTGTGAGGCCGGATATCACCACCATGGATATATCTTTTATCGTGCCCATACCCTTCCTTGCTGCACTCGGGGTACTGCCGGTGGGCGCCCCTGCCTTTTTGATTTTCCTAGAAATCCTGGGTTCGGCTCGTATTCTGGTCGCGGTGCACCCCCATTCAAGCTTTTATCATTCTCCCTCGTCTCCCTTTTCGCGCCCCGAGTCGGAACGATTCGGAATGACGAGCTTTGACACGACAACAACGACTGCCAAAAACAAGGATAGGTTCCCATTGCTTGCTCGCTATGTCCTTGCAACTGCATTGTCACGCCTCTCGTTGAAGGAGGTTGCACGGAGTATTCGGCTCTGCTTTCGGTCCACGACAAACCGAGCAGGAAACCGCCAATCCACCACCGGAGATGGCAAGGGGCCCAAAATCATTAGAGTCCCACCCGCATCCGTGTACTTGCTGGAAAAGTTGGGTGTAGCTACGGCCTTCACCATGGTGGACGATGAGCTAGCATGCGAGCCCAGTTCGCTCCCCCAACAGCTATTGATTCCATCTGGCAAAGGGCTCAAGCTATTGGACATGTGCCCGATATATGAAGATGGGGAGGAGAGCGGGGATGAAAGCACGGTGGATGCCTCCTCGTCTAGAAAGAGGAACAAAGATATGAATGATCATGATTCAGACACAGATTCTGATAATATGCAAGATATGCATGCTGAGGACTCCAGTCGACAACGCAAGAAGAAAAACCTATTTCGTCTGCGTCGCAAACCAAAACGAACTCCTTCTGAGTCTCGCGGAAATGGCGACGAAACAGAGCATATGCTTCCTGTTGATCAAGAAGTTCAATTTGAGGATCCTAATTGGTGGCAGCATTTGCCGGCATTGAAAGTAAGTTATCCATTGTTTCGTTGCTCTTGTGGGTGTTGCCCGATTGAATTGCTCTAAGTGGTCCTGCGACATAGTGTATTGGCCTTGCATGTCTCAAGATTGGAGAAATTGACGACAAGGTTCATGGCCAAACTTTTGCTGTTTACGATGATGCAGTATCAGCAAAGAAGAGTCATCCAGAAGATTTGCAGGAAGCACGGGAGTCCCTCGTGGAACTGATTTGTGCCGAGCGTCGCAGTCATCAACTGGTTTCTCTTGCCAATTGCATTGGATTCTCGCAGAACCCAAACTCGTATGGAATTCACGGAGATATTAGTCCCTTCACAGAATGCCTACGATTGCACGTAATATCCAGCCAGCTCGTCAAGGAACGACTTGAGATGGATCCTCACGAAAGGGGGTCCGAGGAAGCGAGATGGTGGGGACTCCTTCGCCCAGACTCCACTTCTGTGATTGTTAGAGATTCTAGGTCGAATGCGTATCAGCTTTTGACAGCCGGAGACCCCGAAGTTGTCACGACACTCTGCCATGAAGCGTGGCAGGGTGAGAACTCAACAATTCTCCCTCTTGCGTCTGCAGACAGGGCCACGATTCTGGAAACAAGCAGAAGCTGGAAGCTTGCTGATCTTGACGTGAGTGCATTCAGTTACGCCCCCATTCCATACACCGTGGAGAACAGGCTAGGCCGTGACGGCCCATCGGTATGTGATTGAACAACTCGATGATGTAGTTGTTGCTTATCGTCTTCTCACATTCTTCGGACTTCGGACTTAGACCTACCTACTTGACAATACCAATCGTCCAGCAATCAAAGGCCCAATATCGCTGAAGGACAAGACACTCTCAGAAGAGTGGTCTCTAATCAACAACCAAATCTTTCTCGGGGTTCTTGGCTCGTTGGTGATCCCTCGCAAGGAGATTCAACATCTGTTGTGCACCCTGAGTGACGCTGGGGTGAGGTTTGTTTATTTTTCTCCCAGAAACATGAGGAGACAAAAGGAACTCGGTGAGTGGTTCACGTCAATGGTGATGGACTTTGCTTGCTTCGTTCGAATGTGCGCGTTGTTCAAGCTGTATGTCGCTAATCTTGATCGGTTTGCGTAACAGCATCTCAGATGGGCATTGACGTTGCGTGGAACTGCGCAATATCGTTGAGGCCGCTAGACGGCGAAGACGATCCCCATAGAATGGTTTCAGATTACGCCGATTGGGATGTCAATGCAAAGGTGAGGTTTCGTGAAGTCGACAGCCATCTTGCTCGTGAAGACGTAGTCCTCAAAGCTTAAAAATCACTCGGTACAGCTCCCCCACGGACTTGACAATGTTAGGAAGCACCTCGAAGAAGTGGATAACGTGCCGCTACTCGTGAGCTTGTTCACCGATGTCACCAAGGAAACAACCAAAGGAATGGTGAGTATAATGACACCGTCAGTGTCGACGACATGTGTGAATTTGTGCCTAATCTTGTTGATTACTTGTAGGTTGAGACGTTCCAGGAATATCATGATACTGTCATCGCTGTGGGCCTTTCTCACCTACCAAGAAACTGTGGAATCTTTTCAACGGCTGACATTTCTGTTGCAATCGATATCTTCACCGAGAGCCTCGAGAGCTCTCCTCTTCCCATCAACATTTCCCTCCCAAGCGTCTACAACAAGGTGCTGCCATCGGAGGTCTCCTTCGTCAGTGCTATCTCGTCGCACTCGTGTGTGTTTCGGCTGCGTGGTGCCACATCATCGTCACACATACCGAGTATCATTGCCCAAGGACGCGCTGCATTAGAGGCAGCAGTCGCGGCTGTCCATTTCTACATTTCGGCTTGCTTATCCTTTTCCTTCTTCATGCTTTTCTCAGCTTGTGCGGTGTCAACGGCCCTGCCATATGTTCCAAGCATGGGAGCCGTCTTTTATATCCTCGTCCTACTACCGTTGATTGGATTCACAGTGGGATGGAGCGATCCTGACAAGGACATTATGAATCGAGTACCGCCAAAGAATGACCAATCGATCACTTTCGGCAGGAATGAGAGAGGACGACTTTTCACCTCCACATTGCTAAAGTCAGTGCTTCCGGCCATCTTGCCTCAGCTGCTGCACCTCATTGCTCTGGGAGAATTGATGATTGCGTTCGAACCTGAGTTTGTACGCACTCGTTGTTCTGGTGCCATTGGCCCCGGGGACTGGGCAAAGCTTGTGCGCTGCGACGCAATGAAAGAGTACTCCGGAGCAGCACGCATGTCTGCCGGCTCCTTTGTCCTGGCTGAACTGATCCTGTGCACAGTCGTAGTTTCTGCAACCTTTGTGCACGGAACAATGCCAATACAAGAGTTACCGCCCTGGAGAGGAAATCGATTATGGGCGTACTCCGTCGTCCTTGGTTTAGGGCTGGTTGCAATCATCCTTGCGGCATCCGTGGAGCGAGGCAGTTTTGCAGCTTTGCCGTGGTATTTCTTTGTACTGGCTCTTGCCATGCCTCCAATGTGCGTTGCCTGGAACGAGTATTTGAAACTGACTGACCGGAAGCAAGAAATGCGCGCCGAGAAGCTTCGACGGCTTCAGTTTGAGACACGGTACGTTCATCTTCATCCTGTCTTTCTTTAGGGCATCAGACCAACTCTCATCTCTCTTTTGTTGTTGTTGTTGTTGCTCCGTGACAGGCTTGGTATGTGGAGCCCGAGGTAGACCTGGCGAGGCAACAGTGTTCGTTGCAGGCCACCCGGAAATAGTTTTGACGGGAGCTGAACTCGAGGCTGCCGAACAAGCTTTCATCGATCGTCAATTTGTGCTCGGATTGACACGACGACGTCTTCCTTGACAACAAGTGGCTTGCATTCGGATGGTAGCCTGTCGTGCAAAGTGCCCGGACATTTGTTGTAGCCCGTTTCGAGCGAGTTCCACCCCGACAACCTTCCTGGACCGTGCAAAAAAAGAAAGGTGGTTCAGTCTGCTAGCTATTACATTCCCGTCGAGAGTCACAGTAAGGCCTTTGATCAACTCTGCGACAATAAAGCGTAGAGGAGAGACCTGCAGATTCATTCTTCAGGCCAACTGGCACCTCTCTCCTCGGGTGTGGGATGGGATACCGGTACCGCACAGCAAACGCAAGCTCATACGTTTTTGAAGAGTTGAGGTGTAAAGGTACCACCGAAGGCAACATCCCAGGTCGAGCAACCCTAGCTAGCTAGAATATGCTTCCAGTGTTGCAATGCTTCTAGTCTCTGGTACCTGGTAGCATCTCTCATAGCACAAATCCAAAAGTTGGTACCCTTGTACCTGGCCCACCGGTACCGTACTGGCCTGTGGTGACCTTGCTCTTTAGATTGATCATTCAATCAGAACACTGAAACTACAGAATTCAAAGCACCAGTTCGGTTCCGGAACCTGTTTTTTGGAAACGTCACTCAGTATCTTTCGCAGTCCCTAACAGGATTAGTTTGAGCCAATCACAAGGTGGAATGTGACACTCGGAAGAAAAAATCTGAAACACAACCCAATCAAGGGATGGACGGCCGCAGTACGGTAGCCGCTCATTTTTCTTGGTATGTTGTGCAACTTCAAGAAAGAGGCCACAACGATCATCGGAACAAGCACAAGAAAGCAAACTTGCACACACCACGTTGCTTGCTTGAAACTTCACGAAGATTGCCTCCAATAGCTACTAGCTAGACCTAGTAGGTTTAAATTTGTTTCCATCCATATATTTTTGATTGACAGACGATGTGTGGCATCTTTGCAATTTTCTCTTCAAGTCTGGCAGAAGCCGAGCTTCGCAAGGAGCTCATCTCATGTTCTTCCCGTCTTCGTCATCGTGGCCCTGATTGGTCTGGGTACAAGGTTATTGAAGCAGACCCCACAAAGAACATCAAGTTGCCACATGGTATTGCTCATGAACGTCTCGCCATTATGGATCCAGAATCTGGATCTCAGCCTTTGGTTTCCAAAGATGGGTCTATTATTGTGGCGGCCAATGGTGAAATTTACAACTACAAGGAACTTTACCACGAGCTCAAGGATCCTTATACCCCCCAGACTGGGTCTGATTGTGAAGTGATCTTGCCGCTATACAATGAACACGGTCCCACCATTGAACTTCCCCGCCGCCTTCGTGGTATGTTCAGTGTTATCATGTATGATCGCAACAAGGATTGCTTCTTTATCTTTCGTGATCATATTGGAATCACACCTCTCTACATTGGTTGGGGAAATGATGGATCCGTCTACGTGGCTTCTGAAATGAAGAGTCTTATTGGAGAATGTACCAAATTCCAGCAATTCCCTCCAGGACATTGCTACACCAACAAGGGACCCAAGGCAGGAACTTTCGAGCGGTGGTTCACTCCCACCTGGGCCCCTGAAATGAAGCCAGGTGTCCCTCTCCCCAAACAAAAATTCCAAGCGGTATGTTATCATAAATAAATTTGTGGGGTATCCAAAGACCCAATTTTTTGCCCCTGCGACTCACGGCAGTATTATCTTCTCCTATTATTTGCCTTTCACACTTTCTTCCTTCAGGATGCGTTGCGTCACGCGTTTGAACGTTCCGTGACACGTCGTATGATGTCAGATGTGCCATGGGGTGTGCTGCTTTCGGGAGGTTTGGATTCCTCGCTTGTGGCCGCAATTTGTGCTCGTAACATTAGTCGTCGTTCCACATCTTTCCCCAAGCTCCATTCCTTTACCGTTGGTTTGGAAGGAGCCCCTGATCTGGAGGCTGCGAAAAAGGTTGCAGATTTTTTGGGAACCATCCATCATGCCTACACGTACACCATGCAGGAAGGAGCCGATTCGGTGCGGGATGTCATCCGTGCTCTGGAAACCTACGATGTCACGACGATCCGTGCTTCCACACCCATGTACTTGATGAGCCGAAAGATCAAGGCAATGGGAATCAAGATGGTTCTGAGTGGAGAAGGTATGTACCAAGCAGTTATACAGAGAACCGGTTTTTGGCAGCTTTTCGGGGATGTTCTAACTTTCTGGTTTTATCATGATTATGTGGCCGTTCAACAACCAAAACAACAATGTTTAGGTGCCGACGAGGTTTTTGGAGGCTACCTTTACTTCCACAAGGCTCCCAATGCACAAGAATTCATGGACGAAACCATTGACAAATTGAGCCGTCTCTACATGTATGATTGCCTTCGTTGCAACAAAGCCATGAGTGCATGGGGTGTGGAACCCCGTGTTCCATTCTTGGATGCCGATTTCTTGGACGTGGCAATGAACCTAGATCCAGAAGAGAAAATGATCCATACAGGCCCAGGAGTGGCACCAGCCGACAAACGAATTGAAAAATGGGCCATGCGAAAGGCCTTTGATACCCCTGATGATCCATACCTCCCAGAGGACATCTTGTGGAGGCAGAAGGAACAATTCAGCGATGGTAAGTCATGGTTGGCGCTGATTCGGTGACGTGTCTCTTCTGCAAGAGAGCTCATGGCAACACCTGTTTCATCCTTTTCAGGTGTCGGTTACGGCTGGGTTGATCACCTCAAGGATGTTGCCGAGAAGGAAGTTTCGGATCAAATGTTTGCCTCTGCCAAGAACCGTTTCCCTCACAACACACCAACAACCAAGGAAGGCTACCGATACCGCATGATTTTCGAAGAGTTCTTCCCCGGTGAAGCTGCCGAGAAGACTGTCCCTGGAGGCAAGTCGATTGCATGCTCTACGGAACGTGCCATGGCCTGGGACGAGAGCTTTAGTCAACGTGCCGATCCCAGTGGCCGTGCTGCTGGCGTTCACGATTCTGCCTACGGCGACCACTTTGAGGCAGACGACAAGGTCAGCGAACCAGCAAAGAAGAAAGCCAAGGCGTGAGCAGCTGGACAATGACAGTGGCGCGATGCCACTACAAAGCAAGCAATCTAAATATCATTTAATCGCAGTAAATAATTGCCATTCTGTTCCTGTTGTTGTTCCAACCATGATCACTTTCCCTCCCCGTGCAGTATTGTACTGCAGCGAGGCCGGAATACATTGAAACATGCTCTTGTGTGGGGACAACCGGGCCACATGACCTGAAACCAAGGTCTTGATTCGATTCATTCGATTCGATTCTCTCCCAAGCGCAGGAATGGCAGTCACACGAAACCAATCGAGCTATTCAAGCTTGGAAACAACAATATATCTTTGTAGCGCCAGCAGGCCAAGGCAGCCGATGCACCACTCGTTCAAACAGAGGATTCAGTGATGACTTTCTTAAGAGGGCGATAACGCTCCTTAAGTATGCATGATTTTCCGTTGTGCCTGCCATCTCGGCGATCAGTGTCTGGCCACAGTCGTCCCTCCACAGCACAGGATCAAACAGTCCCCTTTCATTTGCAAAGAGAATGCAACCTCTATCTGTGCAACCCAATCATCAAAGTAGTATGGACGAAGCGAAGGAAATGGCAATCATGCCCGATAGCAACTGCATCAACATCGCCACCATCTCCGCCGGTTTTGAAAAGGGGGATTTCCTCGTCCGCGAGGAGCAAGGAAATCGCGTGTACTTTGATTTCTTCGAGGAGGTAGGTAGTCTTCTATGAAAGATCTTTGGTGACCTGTATCGCGGGAGGAGCTGAGTCGAGTGCTAACCTCTGGAATCCCATTGTTTCCCCGTTATCTATCCATATACCCATCGATCAGGCGTTTAACTACATTTCCAACAAGGGATACTCCCGCATGGCACGAGAAGATGAAAAGCACTGGGTTGACTTGATGAATGTGATCCACGACAGCGTCAAGGGAGGCATGAAATACAACACTGGAACATTGCTGATGGTGCTTAGTCGGCCTGTGTCTTTGGATAAGATCCCACCTCCGGAAAAGGCGGAGAAGCCCGCTAGCAAGGCAAAGACCCCATCGAAAGAAACCGCACCAAAGAACCTCAACCCCTAAACCGGCAATGGGTCTTCCACAACAATTTCCACGTCTGAGAGCTCGTTGATTGGAGACCACTTCACCAACGCATTTTGGACTTGCGCTTACTCTGTTCCGACGTACTGCTTACGTCCGTGTTGGTTGGATGGCTGTCAAATTATCATCGGTATTGTAAGAGAAGACCATCTGCACACTCCTAGCTGCGCCTTAATGTCGTTGTTGTCTTAATATCCCCAGTATTCATCTAATGTTAAATCGACTAAAATAAACGAGGCAACTATTGGCTTATCGTATTGCATATTACCTCGAGAAACCTGGGTTTTCCCTTGGCAAAACATGATGGCATTCTACATAATTTCTGGCTAGCTAGAAGAGGGAATGCCCAGTCAAACTATTGCGCGGTTTGCTATTCGCGGGGTACGGCAAACGGAATAGAATAGCAAACCAGTTGGGCCACTCCAGCAATTCCTTCTCTGGGTCCATCTAAAAAGTACATGTAGATCAGATCCCTTCGTTTCATGGTGCCGTTCCCTTTGACTCGATAGATGGCACCTCGTGGGGAGCCCGGGGCCGGTAGCATGGCTTTGGCGTACCAAGAAAGGACCCTACAGAAGTGACTCTCAACCTATTATTTATTTATTTGGGAGCGGAGCAGCACACACTGACAAAATCAAGTTATTTTAGTAAGGTGGAAGGAACAAGGAACCGCGGAGCTAAGGCTTAAGCCCGGCAGACTTCCATACACGTTTTTCTCGTATGGTTTCCGTGAGCTTCAGGATCCTCTTGAGGACCTTCACGTTGAGGGGCATGTGCTTGGCTGGCTGGAGCTGATGAGAGGTGCTTTCAGCATACTCGATTGAGCTGGCTACGAGCTCCAAGAAAGAGTCCAGTTTCTGTTTTGGTTTCGAGGCAAGCGAGAGACGAGTACAGATTGAGATACGAATGAAAACGAAAAGTATCTGTGTTTGCCGAAACAAACGTAGACTTACATCCACCGAAGATCCTAGGCCTTTCATGATCAACTCTTCTTGATCCAGCTCGGACCTGCATTTCAAACAGTACGCCAAAACTCGGAGGTTTCTACTTCGTTCATCGTTGGCAAACGCTGCTTCTGTCTTTAACCGCTCACGGAGCAAGCCTAGCAATAGCAGCATCTTTTCAGGTGCTGTTTCTGGAATGGGCTCGTTGTGAACCAAAATGGAATTTTCAATCGCCACTTGTCCCTGCTCTCCCCTTTTCAATTCTTGCTGGAGGATCTGCTGTACTTTTGGATCCTTGGGATTGATAGACTCGATGGACTCTCCGTCGTCTCCAGTAGTTTGGTTCCAAAGCTTATTGATGGGATCATCGTTCACGTCATAGACTGTACGGGTCTCTGCCTCCTCCTTTATTTGACCATTCTTCAGCCGGTCGACCTTCTTTTCCTGGTCACGAATGATATCACTCAAATAGCTAATGAGAGAATCGTTAAGCTCGTACGAATCGACCTCACTGGCCGAATCGTCATTGCTCCGCGTCATGGTAGCCAGAGTCAGATCCAGCCCTTCGACGCCTTCCGACACCAGCTTGTCCAAGAGGAAAGTCACGGTATCTCTCGAAGCCTTGCGGACCTGAGCGCGCCGAAATCCCTCCAAAAAGGCTCTTACTTTGGCCACTTCCTTAAAGTGACCACCGCCGTCTTCTACCTTGTCCCCCGCCATACCGTCTTGGCCTACAGCCTGAATTTCAAACTCTCGCAAGACTTCTTGCAAAACTTGTCCCCGATTGGCTCGAAGTGCCTGAGATGCTTCGGTCAACAGATGACCAGGAACTCTGGAAGGATCAAATCCAAACGTAGCTGTTTTGTCGAAATTGTTATTGTTGTTCTTGGACACCACCGAAGCCGTGTACGAATCCAATTCGTCCTTGCTCTTGGACATGACATCCTCGACGAGCAGCTCCTCTGGTACATCAAAATGCGAAAAGGCGGGAGCCCCCGTCATGGCGAGCAATGTTTGGACCAGTTCGGTCACCGTTTCCTTGGCTTGTTCCAATTCTCTAGTTGTTGCCACCTTGTGACTGTTGGTTTGATCCATATCCCACGGTTGAGATTCAGACGAGGAACCAGCTGCCATGGGATCCATTCCCGACATGGCTGCCTGACCTGGTTGTGCTGCCGCCACACCTGTCAGATCATTGTGATCAGTTGTGGAATAGACCGTGACAATTCGTTCCCCATGTTCATTGACAGGGGTACCGGGAGGAGGAGGTGGCGGAGCGAGTACGTCACTTTGCGTGACAACGGGTTTTCGTGTGTGTTTCTTTGCTTGTTGTTGCTGTTGCTTTTGGATATTATTGTTTTCTTGGTTGCCTTCCTTTTGGATTGTCGTGGGCAACTCGAGATAAAAGAACCCTTCTTCTTCCTCGCCTGACTCGAAAAAGTTGTCTGAACCGACAATCTCATGGCGTTCTCGAGAATCATCATTGCCCCCTGCTTCCACACGCATTTTTCGATCCCTTTGTAAATTCTGTTCGGATGCAATTTGTTGCTTGGCGTGAGCTCGTAGTCGCAGCAACAATTCCTCTTTGGTTCCTTCAGTAGTCAAGTTGAGTTGCTGGCAGAGATCTTGCAGTTGAGATTGGGGAACTCGTTCGAGCAGTACCTCATCGTCTTCCATCCAATCGTCATCATCAGTATCCGTTTGCATCAATCTTGTGCCTTGTCTCCATGGCAAAAATTTTGCAGTGGCTCTGCTGCTTGCTTTTACTGAACTTGTTGGAATGACGGAAAAGGCATGAACACCGCGAAAGCCAAGCGAGCAAATCATGGACGACAGAGTTAACAGGATCACCCTCCGTTGGGGTATCCTGTCGGAGAATAATCCTATGGTTTGACTCTTTGACCAAAGCATCTTTCCTGTATTCTGATAGTTTTAATGGGGAAATTTGATGTAGCAAGCCCTTTAGTGTCTCGTTCTCAGCGCTGCATCTTTCGAGTGTCTGCCAACCTCCTGGTGGCGAGAGTCCGAAAAGAAGAATGGAATTTTGGGTGGCCATCATCAAAAGATATCAATCGTGGTTCATTCCACTCTCCGTGGAAGCATTTTTTGAAATTTGTCCACGGAGGGCTGGCGATCAGCGGCGGGAAAGTGGCCTCGAAAGCACTTCTCACAATTTCTGCTCTTCGGAACCCAAAAATCAAGCCCGAGAAGACGACGATGATGAGTGACTGCGCCATGATCCCTCTTTTCCGTAACAACAAAAGAAACAAGCTGCCTCCCCAGAGAAGAAACAAGCGCACCAAAGTGCTCTCTTTCTCTACGCCTCGGCATGACAACAGCATTACCGTGTCGGGTAATGGCCAGTGTGTGCGTCTTTACAGCGGTAAGCTTGGTTCCAATGACGTCCTGGTGGGCAGCATTCGTATAGGCGGTGTTCATTTGAAGTCGCATCATCCTGGCAACAGACGCTATCTGTCGATTCTCTGTCAGCATTACCCCACCTTTGTCCAAGCGACGGGAGATAACAATCGACGTAACGCCATTGTCCATCTCATCCTCCAACAAGTCGTCCAAACTTCGTCTCCTCCCGCACGATTCATGGAGCGACGAGTTGGTCCACATCAGTGGATTGGCATGAACTCAGAGGACGTCGTCAAGATGATTCTACACGATCTTCGTCATCACATTTACGTGCCGACCATCATGATCAACGAACAGGCACCACCATCAGCACCACAAGAACAAGAAGATACTACACTCGCAATCGTGCAAGTGTCTACCCAACAAGGCCGTCACACCGTGAATTCGTCGTCCACCCGCAAGCAGCAGCTGCCAACACGACGAAACAGCAACAAGTCCAAGAAACAGACCGCGGCGCGATTGGTGTCCCCCCCTGCTACAACTACAATCGCTACTACCGATACTACCGATTCGGCGTCGAGTCCCGCGGCTCCCGTAGCGGATTATTTCAAACTCCCCGCCATGGCCGAGGAACGTTCGAGATTGTCGGATTACAACCAGAATTTGCTCGGTTGCATGGAACTCTTCGAGGCGACTCCAGGCGACCTAGCTGCCTCTCGCAACCGACACGTCGGTGATTTGGGACTTCGTTGTCGTCATTGTGCAGCCGCGGGTGTCACACCAACAGCACCCTACTCCAGCAGCTTTCCGGGACGATTGGCTGTCATGGAGTTCAACTTTTTCTTGATTGCTGCCAAGCACTTTGTCGGAGGAATTTGTCAAGCCATTTCCCCCGAGCTTCGCAGTTCCATTCTCACGGCGAAACGCTGTAGTCAATCGCAAACCAAAGCACGGGGTGGAACCGGCGTTCAGACTTACTTTTATCAAATGGCGCGATTGACGGGCCTTCAGAATTCGAGCCGTGGTGGCATCATTCGTCGTCCTCTCCGTACGGTGAAGAATCCAGGCCCGTCCATCAGCGGGATGGTGGCGAATGCAGCGGCCGATCGGATCTTGCTCGATGCTCAAACGGCGATTACGTTCACCGGTTCACGTCGTCAGGAGACTACTGCTACCACCGGAACTTCTACTGCATTGATTTCTCCGATGGCGGATAGTAATGACTGCAAGCAAGTCAACGATGCATCCGGTGAATCTATCAAGATTGCCGCCTAAACCAACTATTCAACCAACTTGCTTGCTAGCTGCGCAACGATGGCTGCACTGTCGTGGGGAGGAATTGAACCACTCCCCGGAACCGTGTACACTTCGATGACTGTCCCGCTTGTGTTTTTGGAATGAATTGAATCATTGAATCTACCCCGTCGATTGGGTTGCTGTACATTTTGGACTGACCGCATTTTTTTTGCTTTGACCGCCGCATCCAATCTGCTGTAACAACACCTAGCATTAACCACTTGCCATGTGGTCTACTACTAATAAAGCTACCGGTACCGTAGCAATGAATGCAGTCAACTAGTCTGTAGGAGAAGTCCCCAGGTATCGCTGCCTCACTACAAAGAGCTATTCATAGGTATGACATGTCGACAGCACACCGTACATGCACCATGGCAATGTGTGACTCAGAAGCCTGCGTACCACAGTGTCCGTACCAGGTACCGCTCTATTTTAGAATACTACTGGTACTCCGGTGCTGTACCGGTACCGGTACACACTGTAGTGGCTAGCTTGCGCTTTGGATCTTCGAAGAAGTTTCAGAAAGATTGAGTCATCAGAAAATTGATGGGTCAGAATAACATGTGACCATGGGCATGATGCCACCGCGTCAGGCGTAGGGATCCCACACAGCCACCAGCACATAGTCCTGGGAGTGTTGATGGGTTGGATCTACAGGAAGCACTCATTAAATTCTCGGAAGCCAGTTGTCAACCCTAACATCGTAGACAGCATTGACAATGACCATGAGATCGCTGCTCTTCTTTACCGCTCTTGTGAGCCTTCTACTCCACTCCAAAGCCTTTCAACCCATTGCATCCCCACCACAGACTGGCAGACTGGGAGTGATTCGCCATGCCACGGTTCCCAAAGTGAACGAGAGACCTCGTTTGATCTCCAGAGGCAGACAATCACCTACTACCAAGTCCGATCCTTCGGCGCTTACGTTTCAGGGACGGATTGTCAAGACATCCCGCCCACTGGTGCCACTCCAAGACAAGGACTTTCTCGTGGACTTTTTCCAATCCGACCGAGCACGCAACACACTCTTTGTCTCCGATGCTCCTCCGGTACCCATCGAACCGGTATCCAATCAACTCTTTTTGGAATGGCAGGCCGAAACACAAAGATTGGGTGCTACCTTGCCCACCGGTGCGTCATCCTCATCGGAACGAGTCATGCAATTGTGTAGCAATGGCATTAGCTTTTCGGGGTTGCACGTGGAGACGACCGTGCAGTGTGGTAGCAAATTGATCGAGTCCGACCCCGTAACGGGCTTGCCCGTGTACGAGTTGACCATGATTAAAGACAAGACACAGGCACGGGGACCCAAACTGCTCATGTGGATTTACAATCAAGTCATGAGTGTCGTGTCCAAGGACAACAGCTCTGACAAGACGACAACCTCGCTCTGCCGCATCTCCTTGGTGGAAAAGAATGGTGGAGTGGCATTGGAATTTGTATCTGACTTTGAAGTCTCCATGAAGTTTCCCCGCTTTTTGCTCAGGGTGTTGCCGGTGTCCAAATCAAGAGCCGAACAACAGGGCAGGTCGGCATTGACCAGCTTTGTGGAGAAGGGAGTGGTAGAATCTATCCATCGATTTGAAACTGCCTTTGCAGCCGCTTCTCGATTGGCACCATGAGTACTGTGTCATCCCACCAAGAAAATAGACGGGAAGAGTCAGAAGAGAATGGAATCCAATCAAGGTGGATTAGATACCGGTACACCGTAGATAGATAATAATACTAATAAGGATTAGATTGCGTGTTTTACATTGGAAGACAGAGCAGTGGCTGTGTTATAAACTTCATGTACATCAATCGTTGCTTACTGGAACTGCCAATGGTACCGTACCGGTAGTGAGTTTGGTTCTGATCAGGGACGACGAGGACGAAGAAAGAGTTTAATATTGGATCGACGGCAACAGCAACGAGCCCTTCACTCCGTCGTTTCGATCCCTCATGACGATTGCATATGCCTTTGCCGATTTTGTAGGTTCGGACGGAGCACAACAAAGAAAGTATCCAGCTAGTGCCAGTGCCAAGTTGCTTGCAACTTGAAAAAGGTAAGAAGATGCTTTATGTTTAATTTGAAGAGGCAGGCAGCCCACCGGTGGTCAGGTAGTTGGCAATACTCGAAGCTATTCTGGGGACTGCTGGCTGATCTTTCATAGCCTACTTGGACCTCTCCAATTTGTGATGACCGATATCTCGAAACTCGCTTTCAGGTAATGTATCGCCTGTCCTCTCAAACAGGATTGTTTTGTTGCATGTCATTCCTCAAGCACCACCGGTACCTACCCGTATCGTATCTATTTCAGCTCTGCAACAGAAGGTAAGTCAACTTCCGCAAGGTATGCGTCCAGTGCTTCCATGGCTCCATTGAAAATTTCCAAAGAACCTGCAGCATCTTTCTTCTTGAGTTTCTTTTGCAAAGCATCAAGTTCCTTTACGAATGCCTTCCATTTCTAAAGGTTGATTGTGTTCAGAAAATATAAAGTGGAAGCAATAATAAGAGGGCGAATCAATTCATGCTGCACAAGAGAGAGAGACAAGCAAGCACACTTTCGTCCGATTCGTACCTTCACCGCTGGGAGACTATCTGGGGCTTGGTTGGAACTGCGACGGAATGCATTGGCTAACAAGTACGCCGCTGTGCTGATATCTCCCCACGTTCCCGCTTCGTCTGCGGCAAAGTATGCCTTGGCTTCATCCACACTGCCTCCTTTGAGGGAACCTTCCAATGCCAAGAATCCTTTGATACCCTTGACCACGCGATCGTTATACCGCTGCTTGGCGGACAGCAAGTATGCTCCACCAGCAGTGGCACCCCCGGAGGCTTGAGCAGGCGCCACATTTGCTAGGAATGCTCCAGATAATGCAATGGTTTGGGCAAGGAACGCTCTTCGATCATCCAGAGACGAAGAACTCTCCACTGATGCCAATTTCTTTGCGGATGGACTGAAGGCACTGCTTTGTTGGTGCAGAAGCAATACTGCAACAAGGAGGAAAAAGAGTTTCATCATGGTTGACAAATTTGAGAGTGATGGCTCTGTAGAAGTTTAAGGGATTGTGAGATTCGCCGTCTTTGGACGCAGACAACAAGCAAGTGGTGTCAACCCGCTGGCAGGTTGAGGCGAAATCTAAAATCTAAAAGATACAAAAGATACGTTGAAAGATGAGGGTGACGTCATCCATCAAACAAAAAGAGAAGAACCTCTTTTATCACCCTTTCATGGTTCATGTATCGGTTATCGGTACCACCATGGTACCATCGGTACGCAATGAAAGCAACCACAGAAAGCCCTCGAATGGACGACACAGCCAATGAAGACCATCTTTTGTGTTCCCACAAAGATATCTGGGTCAACAGCATTTTCCCTTTTGTTGGCTTGGGACACTTTGCCTTTGTGGCACAAGTGAGCCACAATTTGAGAGACTACTACATCCTCTTCTGTGACTCGGTTGAAATTCCCCCAGAGGTAGTCGAGGCAGGTGGAGAAAGACGATCAACCACCTTTGCAGATACTTTCTACAGTGCTACCTTTTGCAGTGTGCCCCGTGCATCGTATTGGGAGTCTCATGCTAGCAAGAGCGAGAAGTCACAGCTGGATGTCTGTGCGCAAATTGCCAAAATTGGAAACGTTCCTGTCATGAAATGGGCACGTAAAAGGAGATTTCCTTGGAGTGAATGCACAAGTTCCTGTGCTGCCCAGTATGGTCACATTGAAATGCTTCAGTGGCTTCACAAGAATGGTTGCCCATGGGACGAACGGACCTGCAGTGAGGCAGCCTATTTCGGTCATTTGGAAGTATTAAAGTACTCCCATGCAAAGGGATGCCCTTGGGATGAAGCAACGTGCCATTATGCTGCAGAAAGCGGTTATTTGGAGACTCTACAATATGCACATGTCAATGGTTGCCCATGGGATAAGCAGACGTCTTCCCGTGCAGCCAAGTTTGGCCATTTGCAAATCCTCCGATATGTTCATGAGAATGGCTGCCATTGGAATGAGTGGACCTGTCACTATGCCGCAGAAAGTGGCCATCTGGAGGTACTGAAGTATGCCCATGACAACGGCTGCTCGTGGAATGAACGAACTTGTTTCCGTGCGGCCAAATTTGGGCATTTGGATGTTCTCAAGTATGCCCATGAAAATGGCTGTCCTTGGAATGAATGGACATGCCACTTTGCCGCAGAAGGTGGGCATTTGGAAGTCTTACAATACGCCCATGAAAATGGCTGCCCCTGGAACAAAATAACGTTAAGTCAGGCTGCCAAATTTGGACACCTGGATGTCATAATCTATGCCTATAAAAATGGATGCGAGGGTATTGAGAATTCCTTGAGGCTGGCCAAGAGCAGCGGGAACAAAGAAGTTTTTGAATGGATCAAAGCAAATTGCTCTGTCACATAGTTTGGATTAACTCTTAGTTATGATTTGTCAAGAGCATTTTCTCTTCGTAGTTTTTAAAAGGCAAGTCTGCGTAGAATCACTTGTCTGATCACATATGATGATCAAACAATGATGCAGACATCCTGTCGCCTTTCTTCCAGATTCTAGACCAACCAGACCACGTCGTCTTCATTCATCATCATCATTCTTAAATTCAGGGTGCGACGAGTCGGGGGTTTCCTTTGGAAGCGTGACTCATAGTCACGTGTACCACTCGAAGCATCTCATCTCAGCCACCCGACCCCCGACCTGCTGACAAACCAAACGAAACAAAGTTCTCTCGTTGTTACTAATCTCTTTAACTAGTAGCCACTGGAACAGAACAACAATGGTAAAACCCAAAGGAGGTGGAAAGAAACGCGGTGGCCGTGGTGGAGGTGGTAACAATCCACACGCAGGCCATCGAAGAAATACTCGGCAAGCGGACGGTGGGGGTAGCCGCGATGAAGATGTCATGAGACGGAACAATAATGCGTACTGTCAGTCTGCTACTGCAAGCAGTACTGATCCACTGGAAGGCCTCCAATTGCGCATGTGGGATTTTGCCCAGTGCGACCCCAAACGCTGTACAGGAGCCCGACTCGCCAAACGAGGCTACTTGCAAAAAATGAATTTGAAGCAACCGTTTCGAGGAATTGTCTTGTCGCCACAAGGGACCACTTCCGTGTCTCCGGCCGATGCCAACATTTTGGCCACATCGGGCATGTCCTTGATTGATTGTTCCTGGGCACGGCTGAGTGAGATTCCCTTCAAACAGATGAGAGCTGGCCATCATCGATTACTGCCGTTTTTGGTGGCCGCCAATCCGGTCAATTACGGACGACCGTCCAAACTCAGTTGTGCCGAAGCAGGGGCAGCTACATTGTATATTTGTGGTAGACAGGCGGCAGCAGTGGCAATGTTGGATGAATTCAAGTGGGGACCTGAATTCTTCAAAATAAATCAGGATTTGCTAGATTTGTACGCCAATTGTCAAGATGCGGAGGAAGTGGTGACCAAACAAAATGAATGGCTTGCACAAAATGAAACAAAGCCAAAAACGGATCAAGACGATAACCCACAAGAAAGAGAAATGTTGGACGGCAGAGAGATTATGGATCAGACACATCTAATGGATCTACCCCCTACCGGTAGTGACGATGATGATAATGGTGAATATTATGATAATGAAGACGAGTACTACGATTCAGAGGAAGAACCAGAACTCGACAAATTTGGCAATACAATTGTCAAAGACGTGCCAGGGACAGAGGAGGGCATGTGAACTACAACAGCAGCTGATTCCAGAATGCACTTGTACTAAAAGATCCAGGGAACTCGTTCAATATGTACGCTGCTACCTGGTAGCTACATGTAGAGCTTGCTAGCTCTACTAGCCGAACTGGAAAAGATCAAATCACGCAACACAACCTCCACAAAACAATTACGAGAAAGATCAAGTTTTGCCTGGCTCGTCGGCAAACCTGAGCATCGTCGGTGTTTGCTGTGCGTGCGGTGCGTGACACTGGCTGCTGTATTAATTTGGGGTTGCCTTGCGAAGAAAAAGAGAAGCAATCTCTACTAGTGATTTCCATTGGTTGACAAAAAGAATAGATATTGGAAGGACCAAGCAATGCAATTGGCTTCCCAAGCAAGCCCTCCACTATTCTATGGATGGCTATTGTAGCAATGCAAATGCATCGCGAAATACCCACGATCATGTGACACATAGGCTCTTGGTCAGCCAGCACAGGTCCGTGGCCTGTGAGCAATTCGATACAATGCACCGCGGTGCCTGGAGTGGATGGGTTGCTAAAGGCCTAGCTAGTGGGATAGTTTGGCTCACGTAGCTACCGTAGGGGTAGCTGCACCAAATTTACTTGAACTAGTCTTAAGGGCATGATCGTCCTGGGAAGCTGCCTACTGTTGCTAGCTACGTACCAGGTACAGTCATACCTAAAAAATTGGGTTCGTTGGCATCAGAATGAGCTCTCTCCAGGACAGAGGAGCTACAGTCGGCTCTTTCGTGATCTCAATCAGCTGGTAGCCTACGAAAACATTGGAGACTGGGAAGTTGGAGTGGGATTGTCTACGGATGAATTCACTATCAAGCGTCAGACAGCTCTCAAACTAAGTTTCTCGCTATCATGATGTACATGTGTGTGGTGCAACGATACAGTATGGCCATACCACCAAATACGTGGGTACCCACCTACCTACACCGTACCGGTAGCCACCCAGCTAGATAGCCAGCCAGCACCCCCGCAGCTTCAACCCAAATACCCTACGGTATACGGTATGGTATGTCAGACAGCTGCCGGAACATGTCAAGGGGCGGGACCAACGCACCATCGAGCCAATGAGAGTGATTGGGTGTGTTGGGCTTCTTGAAAGTTGCCAGTTGATGTGATAGATTCTGGAAGTCCCACCATAGGTTGAAGGGCAACAGCAACAAAGTTCCAGAGTTTGTTGTGCTTCAATTTTGTCCTCGGAGGTTTTCACAGCGGTCCTGATACCCAATTGTTAAAGGATTCTGGAAACCAATGAAAGTTCACGAGGCTCAACGAGCTCCACAATTTCCACCATTTCCATGATAGCTTTAACCTCAAGCCTGTTCTTTTCCCAGAACCGAGAACCATACTTCCGAGCATTGGTTGACAGGTGTTGATGACTTGGGAAGAAGGACTGTCACGGGGTTTTGCACATGTTTGCCCGAGCATTGCTCGAACATGCTTCGTTGGTGCCAGAGGCATCTGCTTGACGTGTCGGTGAAGCCTGAAAGGACTCGACTATTTGTCAAGTCTTTTGCTTCTGCTTGATCATTGCGTCATTGAAACATCGTAAGGTATCGATATTGATATCATTAACAAGTCCCAAGGAGGTTTCTCCTTCAGTCAAGGAAACGATGATGGCCCTCGCCGAAAGCAAGAGCGACAAACAATGCCCGGGAAGCGGCAGCGAGAGTGTGGGCGCCACGGATCCTCTCACGATGTATGAGATATATCAGGTGCGCAGGAAAGGTGATACTGCAACAGAAGGCGGCCTGGCCATCCATTCCGCAACATCCATCGCCGTTCCGTCTTATGGCTCAGGAATCTACTTCGAAGATCAAGAAGTGCTACTACCCAATGACCATACGAGAAAGAGACCCCGAGAGGCACCCAAACTAGTGGATGGCAAAGCCATGATGCCTCCTCCCGCCCTTTATCAAGACCATCGCCTGCTAAAGAAGAAACAATGTATATATTCGGTGCCTTTGCCGCTACCGGTACCAAGAGAAGTTTCTTGCCAGTCCATAAACCACAGCTCAAAGGCACCAAAACTTGATTACGCGGTTCATGAAGAGATTGGATTCCACGAGGCAGCTCTCGCTCTAACATCCCTTTGCAGTCCCAAGGCATTTCCCACGTCTTCCATACTCCAGCCTCCTCCAAGGCTCGCGAGTAATACACGCTCTGGCTACTAGTTAGCTGCTCCACTTTCGGTTGGCCTCGTTTGGCTATATAAATTCTGCTACGATTGCTTCCAGCTTCTCTATGATACCGGCATCTCCCTCGCTACGACATATTCCATCTCTCGATCTCAAAGCTATGATCTCTTGCTGTGCTCATTGCTACATTCTAGCTACCGGTGGTGTTTTAAATTATACGTCTGCGAGTCAGCTACCGTAGCCCTAAATCTAAGCCTGTACCTGGTACCCGTATTGAAATCAAATGCCAGCGATTGTGCCGGACTGGCTCAGGTCGGAGTGTTTTTTCAAACTTGTTTCTCCCTGTTGTTTTAGCCTGGCCGAAGGCGCAAAGGAGACTGATGCACGGGGATGGACCAAGGAGGACATCATTGCCAGTCTGAGTGGTTTGGCCCTCATTGCCAGCCTCAGCGGTTCGGCCCTCACTCAATCCCCTGTCGCTAGCTAGCTAGCTCAGGGTCACTCAATCTCCGCCCCTTGTCTTCTGAGGCGGAAAAGGTCGTCAACCAGGCCCATGCACACCCGGAGGGCTGACACCCCAAAGACGGGTGGCATTCTTGCCGGTCGATGTCTGGATACGGTACTACTCCTACAAGTGGAACACCTAGCCAATCAAGTAGCCACATGGAGGCACCAATCGCCCATCAAGGCAGCTGCCTCCCTTCGATCAATGAGCACTTGAAGCTAACCTACACTTTGAGCTTGGCTACTGGCCAAGGTGTGCACCCACCAGGCAAGAACCAACCTGCAGGAATGGCGTCAACACAGCAATCTGGTTGGCTATCCAATCTGAAGTGCCACAGTCTTGACTGAAGCAAAGAGAAAAGGGTCATCAAGCAGCAGCATGGCTGAACAGCTTACTGTACTGTACCGGTACCTGTTGGGCCAATCCAACTGATGGATCCCCACAGGGCCACAGTGGCCATCCATTGGCTGTCAACTGGATGTGGATGTTTTATTAGTCTATTCCTGTTCCAATGAGTGATGTGAAATAAATGTGAACCAATCAGCAAAGCTTGAAGCAAGACTGGGTATCCATTCAGATCAAGCAACTTCTCCTTTACACATACTGGTTACTGGTACCGTAGTACTCTACACTCTACACCAGATTAATTAATGAAAAGTTGATTGGCTTCTGTTTCAGCCGGGTTTGCTGAACCAATCATAGAGCCGCAATGGATTCCCATTTCAACGGAGAGAAAAAGTGTTTTATCAGAATGCATTCTAGGGTTCTCTCACACTCTCGACGATGTCTCTTCGCTAAAAGGTTCGTTAGCGATGACATTGAGTTCTGATAGCTGTTCTGATTTATCTTCAATATGAGTTCTAAGTCACAATGCTTTTGTTCTTCCAGTGTACCAATCGCTTAGAGGAGCACTTCCTTCTTTCTCGAGGAAGATTGAGGGATGGGTTTGCAGACTTTACGGAACAATGTGGATGACGCTCCTTTGGTGTCTTCCGAAACCACGTACCCCATTCCACGTGTGCCACCCTACGGTACGCACATGTAACATGAAAGTTGCAGCAAACTTTGAATTAATCTACTAGTAAACTACCAGTAAAGTGCTCGGGAAAAGAAATATTCTTGACTTATTGACCATAAATCTGACCACTGTTCATTGTCCTGGCCAAATTGTGCACTATCGAAAGAAGTACTAAGCATTCTTGGAAGCCAGACGAGCTTAACTCCTGGATGAATCTATTTACGAACGAGAATCCCAAAGACACCAACGTGTCAGCCAGTGTCGAACATCCAAAGACAAGATTCCTGGCTCGAAGTGGGAAGAAAGACGGTTTTGTAGTGGTTGGACAATGCGCGACAAAGTCGACCAAAGACCACGGAGCCTGACCTTGGTTGCATGCTTGCTATTGGTTGCGAGGGCCACGCCAACTCACGGTTTGCATAGCTTCCGTCCTTTTGACTTGGCATGATATACATGAGATTTCGACCATCATCGATCATTGTCCTTGTAATGGTCAAGAACAGGAACGGTAGATGTCAATGGGTAGATTATTTTTGTCTCCCCATTATTATCAGTTTGCAGCAAAGCATTGAACGTATTTCCACAGTTAGCATTGAGCACGAATCGAATCAGGTTTGTCGAACCAAGCAGATAACCAGAAGGAACAATGATGCACTCATTCCAATATTTCAACCATGGCGCTCCAGCGGGATGCTTTGAGAAACAGCGTCTTCAGGGGGTCCATTTCCATGAACGTCTTGTCAGTGAATCGGGAAGAGCGGTTGCTCCGACAACACTGGAGAAACCACGCAACGGCGGCTCGGGTATATATTTCGAGAACAATGAGGTTAACCCCACTGAGGGTTGTATGCATCCGCTTCAGTCTTCCCGTCATCACAACCATGCTCACAATGATGCTAACTGTTGCAGCACCATGCCACCGGTGCCTTGTCCCCCAGGGCAGCCACTGTTTGCCCCTCCCATTTTGGCCACGTCCATTCTGATCGAAGAGCATGACCATAGCCACCGTGATGATCACGATGATCCCATGGATGAAGATGGCAGTGCTCCGGTCGTGCAACGGCGGTGCTCTGCTCCCGAAGCCAGCAGCACTGGCCATTCGTTTTCCTCACAGGACTGCGTCAAGAGTTGCAAGGGTGAAACGGGAAACCTAGGGCACATGTTCTGTGAGACCAAGCGCACTGCCATGCGGCAAAAGTTGCACAGTCGAGACTACAGACTCTCAAGCGATGAGATGGTCTTTGTAGAAGCCGCCGTGAAGCTTTCTAAAGGGTTTGCGCCACCCGCTTTCGCACCATTGACCTTGTCCAAACCATCATTGCCGCACCACGTCATCCAAGGACGCTTCTGAGGAGGGTACCAGGAGCTGCTTGCCCTACTGAGCTCATGCGAGTCTGGTCCAGGGCTTGCATCGTTCCTTGCCTCCTCCTCCACCTCAAACACGGGGCGAAGGCATTGCTCTTTTTTGTTGTCGTCGCCACCGTCATCATCACATGACACCACCAGGAAACGTTTCTCCAAGGCCCAATCCAAAATCATTTGCGGGAATAACGTTTGTCCAATGCCATCGGCTCAGTCAAGGCCGGGGACTTGTAGTAATAGGCGAAGATCTCCTCCGGCAGCCAGCTAGTGCAAGGCAGCTATCGTTTTGTGGTCTAATGCAGCATTCAGGAAAACATATATAACTGTGAAGTTCGTTGCCAACCTTCTTGATTTTCTTCGTAGCAGTAGCGTGTCCTTCCCCGCCACTAGATGAGCTTAGTTAGTGGAGCACACCCGAGTCTGAGCTTCCACACAGAAGCTCATAGCTACATTCGCATCCTTAGCTCGTGCATCGTCCAAGCGACCGACGTTGTCACCGTGGGAAATCAGAACCCGTTGCTCTGGCCAAAGAACTAGCTCTCCACCCTGTTCCTACCGATCGCTGCCCCCTTATGCATACCCTTCATCTAGTGGGGCATTCCCGAGTCTGAGCTTCCACACAGAAGCTCATAGCTACATTCGCGTCCTTAGCTCATGCCTCGTCCAAGCGACCGACGTTGTCACCGTGGGAAATCAGAACGCGTTGCTCTGGCCAAAGAACTAGCTCTCCAGCCTTCAGTGTTCTGTTCCTACCGATCGCTGCCCCCTTATGCATGCCCTTCATCTAGTGGGGCATTCCCGAGTCTGAGCTTCCACACAGAAGCTCATACCAGGTAGCTACATTCGCGTCCTTAGCTCGTGCCTCGTCCAAGCGACCGACGTTGTCATCCCCACCAGCAACGCTTAGGAAAGCAGATCGTGATGCTCTGGCCAAAGAATCATCACCCCAGCCACCAGTGCTTTGTTCCTGCCATGTACCAATGGCTACCCCTGATGCACGCCCTTCATCTATCCAATGCAAAATGTTGTTGTGGTCTATATAAATAAGCTATTAGATAAGATGATGTTCATAGAAACTAAGACGAAGCCAGCCGAGGACCGCAAGATGAAAATTATTGATGTATAAAAAATGGTTGACAGGCTGGCCTGAAGCTCTTGGAAGCGGGGAAAGTCGAGGGAGGAAGAGAGATTGCACGGTACTGTACATCAAAATCAAAGCTTCCATGATCTATTCCATGAGATCCGTTTCAGCCAAGAAATCGACACGAGGCCCTTCTTTCGCCTGCTCCTTGCTGACCTTCGGCTTGTCGCCGATCCAATAGGTAGTCATGTCACCCTTGCCCTTCACGCCAATCTTTCCCCTCTTGATCAACGGAATGTGCGGGGCCTGCAAGGCCAAGAGCTTGGCAGATTTCTCGGAGCATTGAATTCTTCGGCTGATGGAGTTGGATTCCATTCGAGACGCAACGTTGACTGTAAGTAGAAAGCAGGTAGATGTGAGGACGAGCTGATAGAAGACGAACGTGAGCTGTGGCGACAAGGGGGGCGTACCAGTGTCACCAAACAATCCGTAACGAGGATTGAGGGACCCAATGACATTGGACACAACAGGACCCGTGTGTAAACCAACACGAATTCTGACATAACCTCGCTTGGGGTCATCTTCATCAATCAAAATCAGGCCAGCTGCCTCAACGGCGTCCATGGCAAACTCAGCAATGGCCTTGACGTGGTCGCTTTCCATCGCTCCGCCCAAATTTGTCACACCCATATACGCATCGCCCTGCGGAAAGAAAGGAAACAGAAACATTGAGACCCTCCCGATAAAAGCAGCACACCGTTCCAGCACGAGTACCGCCCAACTTACAATGGTTTCAACTTTGAACACCTTGTGCTGGCGGGCCAGACTATCAAATGACAAGTAGAGTCGGTCGAGCAGGTTCGATACTTTGAGAGGCGAGAGGCTCGCAGAGATGTCAGTGAAATGCACAATATCGGAGAAAACGATGGTGACATTGTCGTGCGTCTCTGGCTCGACCTTCTCGCCGGCTTTGAGGGCATCGGCAATGTGCGATGGAAAAACTTCTGGGAAATCAAGACGATGAATGAATAAATGGAGTGAGTATTTGCGGAACATGCGCTCTTCTTCCTGCAGACAGCCAGATCACGTCTGACAACTGAGGCACTTACGGTACAACATGTCTCCGGTTGGTCTATCTATCCTGCCGTGCGTTGCTCCCACGGACAAAGGTTCTGCATCTTGCATGGTCATGTCCATGAAGAGCATGTCCAGGTCTTTTGCTTGCGGGCGGAAGAACGGATCCTGGCTCCAACATTTCTTCATGATCTCCAAAATCTTGGGAGGGCATGTATCAGGGATCAAAGGCCTTTTGTTCACCCTTGGATCACACACTGCAGTTTCAAGAAGGAATGCATCATGAGTTTCCTCAAGGAGTGGCAAAGCCGATGACGTGCAAGCTTCACTACGCGGTGACACTTACCCTTGCGCAAGACCTGTCGCGGGTTTTCACCTTCGTATGGTGTTTTCCTCGCATAGATCTCGTACAAAATGATACCCAAAGCATAAATGTCGCAGGAAGTGTTGTAGTCTGTTTTACCACGCAGGTACTCAGGTGCCATGTAATATCTTCGGAGGTGACAACGCGGAAAGAAGAACATGAGGATCTGACAATTGACACAACTGTCGACCCATCGCGTCGGCAAGTACTCACGGAGTTCCGGAAATACCGGATTTCTGCTTGGTAGACAATCCAAAGTCGCCAACTTTGGCTCGGAATCTGGAGTCAATCAAGATGTTCTTGGCCTGGCAAGGCAGGAAGGCAACGTATGAGTTCAAAAGCACAGATTCATGTATGTGAGAAGGGAAGACGGAGACCGACGACGTACCTTCAAATCACCGTGTAAGATAGGTGGCTTGCTTGCGTGCAGATATCTGATTCCAGAGGAAACATCGCGCAAAATTTGAAGGCAAATTTCACCCCCTGCATACATGGTCTCATTTCTCAAAAGATCATGGAGGGATCCATACTCGCAAAACTCCATTACGAGCATTGGATCGTGGCCGTGGCCGATGACAGCTCCCATTACTGTGGTGACTGTGGTTGAAGAGAAGAAGGGGGCGTACGTTAAGCAAGTCCGTCAATGCATTCGCTTTGCATCGTCAAAAAAACACTGAACTCACTGCAGGGGTGTCGCAAGCGACTCAGCAAACGCATTTCCTGGATGAATTCGGCCTTCTGCCTGGCTTGGGAGTCGAAGCAGGGGCAGAAGGTGCCCATCGCAGTGGACTTGGATGTATTGCCAGAAGCAGTGCCCAAGATCGAAGACTTGAGTCGGGCATGCTCATCGCGGTCGAAGAATGGAATCCATTTTGCCAATCCATTGCGCTTTTTCCCAAAACTGAAGCCATTGCCGAGGAAGTCAAGGTCTACAGACATTGGATCAGACGTGCTCTGAGTCATCATCTCGGCAGAATTCAAGCCGCTATCTTCGCTGTTTTCGTTTGTGATTCCACTTCCACCACTTCCTCCTTGATCTGCATACGTTTGTGCCTCCAGATCGAGGGACCCAGTGTCAGAGGAGGCCGATCCATTCTTGCCAAGCGTGTTTCCAGGGACCATAGACCCATCCTTTGAACCGTCCCTGGATCCCGACTTGTCTGCCTTGCGCTTCTCCCCTTGCGAAAGGACCCGTTTGATTGCAACCCTGGAGAGAGAGAAAAGCAGGACCCGACGATATGAGACTACATCTTCCGAAGCTCAAAGCAAACAGGAATGCAGCAGTGGACATGACTTACGTGGTGCCGCGATACTCGGCCTTGAGGACCACGCCAAAGGCACCTTGGCCGATCACCTCCACAGGATCGTCAAAGTGCAGCTCTTCAACGTTGACCAACCAAAGTTGGTCGCTCTGGCGTTTCTTGTATCCAATGAAGCAATATCCCGCTTCCAAGACGAGCAGTAGCACAACTGCGGCAATGATAACGAAGAATATTGCAGAGCTCACGCATTTGTCACCCAGCTCCAGTGTTCCTGAACCGCAAATACAGTTGCCATATTCGTCTGGCACCTTGCCTTGTCCGCTGTAGTCTTCATTGCATTCTCTTGGTGTTACCTGCACCCTTATCGGAGACCTAATAGAAGCAACAGTCCGATGTATTTCGTTTGTAGTGAGTAATCCAAACTTGCTCCATTGCTCCTTACAAAGTCATGTGGCCGCGCAACTTACTCTGGGATCTGCTTCCCGTCCACAAAAATCTCCATGATGCCCACACCAACCTTATCGTCTGACCAGCCGAACTCGTAGGCGAAAGTATCATTGATTCGGGTCACGTCCAAGTTTCGTGTGTCGTCCTCGTCGTGCATCTTGACGGTGAGTGTGGCTCCTTCCCTTTCTTTGTTGTCGAAGGCACGGAAGGTAATGGTCTTTTTCTGCTGAACATGACCACAAACAGACATCTTCCCACAACCCGCTATCTTATTGCCGTCGCTGGCATTGACGCCTACGGGGTACACGCTCACCTCAAATGCTTTGACGCAAGGCTTGCAATAGCAGTCATAACCTTCTTTGCAAATGAGGCCATTCTGCTCGCATGCGCGATCGAAGTCCCTTTGGCTTTTCAAATAATGCCCAGCGGGACAAACAATGCTGTCATAGAGTTTCTCCTGGTGGGCACCAACCAACCAACCATTGACAACGTGAGCAACATTGCTAATCCTTAGATGAATGAATCCAAACCAAACAAAAACAGACACTTACGGATCTGCCGCACTTCCAGTTTCCTCTTTCGTCCTGAATCATCAAGTGGGCAGCCTCTTGCATGGTTCTTGGCTCCGCATATGACCTCGATGTCCTGAACCCCGCCCATTTGCCCACTTTCGAGCCTTCCCACGCCAATCGGGCCAATTCTCTGGTGGTATCGCAACGCGCTTGAGGATCAAAGTAATCGGGAAACTCTTGCATCTCGCAGAAGGCAGTCGAATTGGGATGCCCCAGTTCACACTCTTCCATGGCTTTGCCAACTTTGGCGTGCTTGCCAACTGCGAGGAGAGCTTCCTGAACCTCTTCGGATACATCCTTGTTGACATGAGTTAGAGCAGCGACGGGCCATTCAGGGTAGATGTCTGTGCAAACGAAAAATGAGAGGTGGAGGTGGTATGGTTTGAGCATGATTGTTATGAGACCATCATGCACACACATTGCCCAAACGTACCAGTGCTATGAAGGAACGGGAACAAGTTTCCATCATCCAAGACGAAGATCTTTGGTTCAATGACTTTGAAGAGGTCGGGGTCAAGAGTGTTGCCGTTGGCATCTTTGGTTCTTTCGATTGTGTCCGTTCTGACGAATCCAACATCAAACTCTCGATCGAGGACCCCATGAACCAATTTCGTCTGATCGTACGCAAAGACAACCTGTTTTGGGTCCATGATATAGGACATTCCGGCCTTTAGCATCTCATAGAACTGCACCTGGCCCGCCATGACCTGGGACATTGCCCCAGCTCCAATGATTTTGTCTTGCAGGTCTTGAATGGTGTTGATGTCGTCATTATCAGCCTGAAAGTTTCATGTAGCAGCATTGAGATCCACCGGATTTGGTTAGGTTAGGCTATACATTATAGATATGTAAGCAAGCAACAGGCAATGGACGAATGGAACGTACCCGTGTGAAAATGACCCCTCCAAACACATCCAACTCGTACTCGTGTCCGCGGACCTCCAGCCTTGACACAATCGTCGCAATGGGCTGGGCACCCACTTCGGTTCCGACACAAGAAAAGATTCCAGGGTTGGCGTAAAAGAAGTCAATGTCTTCCGTTGCCACCTTGTCAAAGAGTTCTTGGAAGGTGACCGGGACCATTTCGAATGTGATTGGTGGATCGAACCGATTACCGGCCGTGGCCGTCAAGTATTCCCCAAAAGTCTTGTTGTACTCTTCGTATGCCGCATCGACACCGCGAATGGCATGGACTCCCACCTTGTAGTGGGTCTTTTGCTCACGTTCATTAAAGTCTCGTCTGGGGGAAGTGCAGTCCATTTGAGAGGACATGGCAGAGTACACATCCAATACTGCGCCGTTGGTTCCAACGATCATACCCATAGAGGCGAGGAGGCCAAGTAGGGATACCTGACAGATGTAACTCGTCAGAAGGTTCATCATGGTTGGGGCGAAAAACTTACTGGAGTGAGTCCTGATATTATAGTTGCAATGACTTTTGGTTGTGTTGCCTTTCTGTTTTCTGTTTAAAACTTTTTGTGAGCCGAGTGCATGACGAGTCGAGTCGAGTCAACCTGAAATCAAATCAATCCTTCTCTGGTTTTCATCAGGCCTCTACAAGCTGGGAACTGGGAACAAGTACTCGTAAGCTCGTGAGTCATGCCCGTAGCCATTGGAGTTCGCAATTCGGTCTTCGAATTCGATTGGGTGGCTATGCTGCACTCTCCCTCTTTTATAAGAATAAGCAACGGAGCTAGCTAGCGACAAGTACCAGCTGGCAGCTAGTGGTACATGTATGTGGTCCAATAATGCATACGAGTAATGTTGGTGATGGTCAAAACTGTAAGTACTCCGAGGCCTCCCCATCCAAGCTAACAGGCTACTGCGAGCTGCGATTGATTCAGCTGCAACCTAACAACTATTTTAATTTAACAAGTCTTATGACTTCTCATTCTACAAATTCAGCAGACATCAGACCCAGCCAGGAGTACCGGTAAACATCGCATCTAGCTAGCTATTTTTATAATGGTACTGGCTAGCTATGGTACTCTAGCTAGTAGAAAAGGCTGCAGTCAGTGGTCGGGAATAAGGGAAATATCACAGCAGCCCTAAACTAATTGTCGCGGTGTCATCAGACTTCTTCTTGGCTGGCATAGTCAGATAGTCAGGCATCTGAGAAGGCCTTGAACCTTGAACTTGAGAGTAGAGTTTCTCTTGGTGAATTCCCATATTCCCATGGCTACCGGTACCAGCTACCAGTACGGTCATTCTTTTTTCGGGCAGCTTGCAGGTCACTGAGTTGGTCACAATCTACCAGTACGACTGTACCAAGTACTGTACATAGTCTACTACATTCAGATCTTGTGTGGTTAACTAACTTAGCCAGAGTATTCAGATCTTGCTTGGTGAAATCCGCGCTTTTCCATCCAACTGATGCACTGATGCCCTGATGCAGATCAAAGACGAAGACGTTGGTGACAACCTGTTGGTTTGAAACTAAAAGAACTGCAATGAGAACTACTTTGCTTACTTCTTGGGGGGGGGGAGAATGATGAGAACGCTGCAATGCGAAGGGGACCCATTGAGGATGCCACCGTATTGCTAGGACCAAGGAGGAAACGACGAGTGGAGAGACAAACGACCGAACAGATTCGGGTTTTCATCCAAGCAAACGAATCTTTGAAATCGAATCATTGAAGAGCTCATTGAAGTCTATCGGTTCCAGTGCAATCCCAAATACGGCAGTTCCATTGCTCACCGAAGTTCACAACATGACCTGTCGCTGACATTGCTACCTTGCTTCCCACCACGACATCGTTGCTTTGACGCTTTTAAGGAAGACGAAGGAAGCAAGACGGGATTTGCTGGATATCATGTCTCTAGGCACTCGAGGCGCATGCGGCATGTGACGAGTATATATTGCATGACATTGTATTATCAAACCAGGTTCAAGTAGCACAATGCCAACTGAAAGCTTCGCTTTCGCATTCGTAGGTTTGGCTTCGCAATTGAAGGCGCTGTGCTTCAAACTGGCTGCACTTCTTTATCCTAATTCACTAGTGGCGGTAATAAGATCACACTGTAGAGCACTTGGGTGCACGCTTTTCTTCTTTTGTTTTCGCAGTCGTAAAGTTTAAAAGGAAGACTAGTTTTCTTCTTCTTCCAACGGGCGAATAAGGGCAGACAGTAGAAGTGATTGTAGTTGTGGCAAAAAGTGCGTTGACAGAATCGGCACTTCCTCGTGCTACCGTACAGCCTGTAGCTAGATAGATGATAGAGGCAGCAAGAGTCGTGCAAGGAGTTCACAGCTGCAATGTTAGATGGTGACACATTGGCTTCTCTTGTCCTCAATCATACCGGTAAGCATGTCGTGGCCTGTTTAGGCTGAGGCACAAACAGGCCGACGCCGTAGGCTCCTCTTGCTCAAAGAATGGCGGCCTAACTTAACTCTGGGCTTGCCACTTCGTTGCCAGTGACTGACGACTGGATCGTTTTGCGGGCTGTGGTTGATTGGATTGAATTGAATCGAATCGAATGATTCGATTCAATCGAATCATCAATCAGTCTTGAGCTTCAGCCTGGTAACTCCTCAGGGCGAGCTTACAACCACCACTGGCTGGCGGGCAGGAGAGATACATACTGGTACTGCACATACGGAAATCCAAGTGCCAAGCATGGGTCACTCCCGAACGGGATTTCCTCACAAAAGCTAAGTCTAAAGATTCGATTCATTCGATTCCTAGACTAGTCCACCCGTGGTTGTGAGGTTGTGAGTTGTGAGTGGTCAAAGAACACAGCGAGTCTCAGAGATCACGTTTCTTTGGAAAACAAGAATCATACGGTCACTATTATTAATATTCTAGACTAGTTAAATCGTTTGCTTCAGCCAAGTTGTCAGAGTGACGCTTGTGTTTATTAATAAAATCTTTTTCGAACAGCATCAATCCCGCTCGCTAAGCATTTCAGAATTTCAATCGCCAAGCCAATGAGACTCTCAGTTAGAAATAAGAAATACTGTAACAAGAAAGACTCCCCATGCCATAACTAACTGTTCAGGAAGGTTGATTTATCATTCACGGTAGATTGAGTATTTATTTCTAGGTTCAGGCTAATCCCAGAACTCTTAGAGTGCATACATGACAAAGTTTGTTTCATCCAAGCCTACATAGATTAAGAAATAACCCCACCTCCTCAATAATTACACTACATGTATGTAGTGATTCTGGCATTGGATGTCCCAACCATGTCCAGTCGCAACAGCCTGCGCCCCTCCAATAAGTAATTTATGTCCTCGATGGTGAAACAGAACCCGCTTTTCCCCTCCTCTTCTTTTGGGATTGCGGAGGAATGTCACTCTTCGTACTCTCTATTAATAGCATTGTGGCTCGCAATAGCTGTCGCATCACCTTTCATCCAACCAGCCACAACAACCAAGCCTCATTTGTCTTCCACTCAACCCTCTCCAAATTCTAAACACACAGTTACCACAAAGAGTCGTCACTGATCAACAGATAGCTTCTATTCTCTACTCTGCTGTTGGTGTTTAGTTCTCAACAAGTGGCGAGATAGAGGCAATTGGACCGAGATGTGTCAACAACTGATTGTTGGCTTCAATGAGTGCTTGGAACGTTTGGTTACCGAGCGCTTTGGCTTGGACTCTTGGCAATTGGTCCTCAAGACGGCGGGATTGCCCACGACAGCATCAGATGATGACAATGATGCCACTTCCATGTTTGCTTCGCATCAGCAGCACCAAGAAGAGCAAAAGCTAAACGATTCCCTGTCGTCGTTCGAGTCCACAGTGGACTTGGTTGAGGCGGCCTGTCAAGTCAGTGGACACTCCATAGATGAAGTGCTGGAAGCATTGGGAGAGTTCATTGTGCATTATCTCAAAGAAGAAGGGTACGAACAATGGCTCACTTGTCCGGGAGGATCCCTCAAGGATTGGATGAGCAATCTCAATTCCCTTTTGCAGCATTGGCAGTCTGCATTTACCGACTTGGCACCCGTCAAGACAACAACAACACAACCAACGGCGCCTCGTTTCTACTGTCAAGAGGACGAGCAAGCCGACGATGGATCCCTCATCTTGCGCTTTTATGCGGCCACCAGCGCCACGAATGATACGGACACTCCAGCAGCCGCCACGGCCGCTCTGCGGGACACCAACTCTGTGGACTTTGGAAAGCTGGCAGCACCCATTGTCAAGGGGATTGTATCGGAGGTTGCGGGGATCCAGTTTGGGGTGCTCATTGACATGAAACCAATCGATGAAACGGGGGAGTCAAACTGCTCCAGTTGGTCCGTTTCCACAGTGGATCCCAAGGATCAATGGAAAATGTTCCGAAACAACAACAACACCAAAAGGCGCTCATCTTCAACGACAAGAGCAGCAGACCGCAGCAAGAGATGTTCCGTCACGGGGATGAAAATAACCTCCCCCGCCCAATCCGGTCATGGCATTGGCCTCTCCAGCACTGTGACTCGGGAAATCTTTCCATTTCATGTCATTGTCAATGACAAGTTTGTCATTCAGCAAGTGGGCTCTCAACTTGCCGATGTGCTTCATGCCACAAACGACAAGGAACTCGTAGGACAAGGCATTGCCAAATTCTTTGCCGTAAAGGGTCATTCCTGGAGTTGGAAACAGCTTTGCCTGGACGACAATCGGTCCTTTCGGCTGGAAGCCAAGATAACAACTGCCAAGGCTCCAAGCTTCAAAGCAACAGCGATTCAAATCTCTAGCCCTTGCGATGCGTCACCGTTGGTCATGTTCCTGTTGACTCCCGAGTTTATCCATTTGCAACACCTCCGCGACCAGGGATGGACACTTCATGACATTCCCAATCACACGCAGCGGGAACTCTTGCTGGCACGAGAACATCTCAAGCTACTTCAGGAACGACAAGAGTCCATGGAACAACTCGGACAGTCCCTGGAACGGGAACGCAACTTGCTGGAAACCTTGCTGCCCTTGCATGCTGCCGAGGGACTCCGTGCCGGGAAAACGGTCGAACCCATGCTCCACAAGGACGTAACGTTCTTCTTTTCGGATATTTGTGGTTTTACCGACATTTGTCGCGAACTCTATCCTTGGCAAGTCATTGAAACGCTCAATCAACTATACGGAGTCATGGACTTTTTGGCGAAGAAGATGGGCATTTTCAAAATTGAAACCATTGGAGATGGTGAGTTCTAGTTGCCTTCGGACATGTTGTGGAGTTGGAATATGAAAATGCTCACGTGTGGTTGAATATTTGTTCTATCTTCCAGCGTACGTTTGCTGCAGTGGTCTCCCCAAAAAGGATCCTCAACATGCCCGCAATATTGCCAACTTTGCCATTGCCGTAAAGCACTGCTGTCGGCATGTTCTGTCACCTGTGGATGGCGCACCTATCCAACTGCGAATTGGGGTCAACACGGGGCCAGCGGCAAGTGGCGTCGTGGGCACTCTGAATCCACGATTCTGTGTCTTTGGTAAGTGCCAACCTGTCGAAAAGAGAAAAGTTGTGGCTGGTCTACAGATTGGCCAGTACATTTGCTAACCCTGTCATGGAACCGCTGTGATTGATTCCTTCAGGGGACACTGTGAACACCACCTCGAGACACGAATCCTCGGGTCTACCTGGTATGGTGCACTGTTCCGGTACCACCAAGCAGGAGCTGCAACGACAGTGTCCTGGACTGTTTCAACTAGATGAACGTGGTCTCGTCGAAATGAAAGGCAAGGGCCGACTCAAGACGTTCTGGTTAGATGGCCACGAAAACAACCCTCTTGTCAGCCGCGCTGGTCTGAAATTGCTCGACATGGAAGTCAAGGATCTGCTGTCCAAGACAAACTTCAAAACGAAGATGGGGCTGGATGCTCATCCCAGCTTCATAGAATTGCAACAAGAGCGCAGGAAGCGCCGTCAAAGCTTTTTGCCACAACATGGAAGTTTGAGGAGCTTTGGAAGCAGAAGCTTTGGAAGCGCGAACAGTATCGGCAGTAGCATGAGCAGATGTGGATCAGCGCTCAGAAAGATTGGGACCCTGGGCAAGGTTGAAGTTGACGCGAAAGGTGGAGTCAGCGTACCTCTACCACCAACACTCCTTAGGGGTCAATCCGATGCAACCGCAAGATGGCAAAACAGGCGGCGATCGGCGGCAAATGCCGATTGGGACTGTTCATCGAATCACTCGTCAAGCTTCTCGTGTGATAGTAGCCAGCGCACGAAAAAGGCGAGGACTGAGAGCACCGAAAGCCTATCACTGCTTGATTTACAAAAGAACCACAACAATTCATGCATGGGCACTGCGACGATGAATGCGTCCGCTCGACTTCTGCAGCTCGTCGGGGATACCGGTAGTGGCAAAGTTGGTGGAAGAAGCGGGAAAAAGAGGCGCAGATCAAGCAACGTCTTCTTCCACATTGCCGAAAGGTGCAAGGAGGCGGCGATGGAAGACAGCATGTCAAACCTGGGGGATTCCACAACCGGAACAACTTTTCCTCCAATCCCAGACTCCATTTAGACGTCGCGTGTTGTAAAACACTGTACTATATAAGGCAAAGTCTAGCTAGCCACGCAACATAATCCTTTGCTGTACGCATGTAAGCCTCAAGACAACAGGGCTGAGTCCGCCAACTATGGATCCCTGGGCTGGGCTCTTATGGTTGCTCCACCTTGGTTGCAGAGGTCTTAATGCAAGCAGGCAACGGAACACTACCAACAATGACATCACAAACTCACCCGAACCACCAAGCCAAAGACTCCTGAAAGTCCATCTACATCCAAGGAAGGCAACCAAACAATGGTTCCTCTCCTTAGAAGTCTTCATCTTCATTGAAACTATCTCACTATCGTCGCCGCCCTTTGCGTACTCGACGTCCTCGTCTTGGGTTGATTTGGACTGCGGATGGTTTTTTAACCAAACTCTTCGGCAAGGCCTCAGCTAGCCGGCGAATTCTTTCAATCTCATTGACCTTATAACCATGGACACACCCCGCATATTCTGCGATGCATTTCAACACCCCAGCAATGCCGCTGATACACTGGATGGGGCACTCCCTAGAAGGATCCATTGATTGCATGCATGGGCATGGAAGCTCGCCAACCAACGCTCGTTCAAGTTAGCAGCTCTGTTGGAAGTTCCCATGAGGAATGCTTGAAAGCTGTCATGGGCTTTCACTACCTCCTGTGACCAAGACAAAATCTCATGCCGATGATCTGTCCTATCGCAAACATTTTGCAGTTGATTTGCTAATGTGCTTGTATCAAACTGGATGGCTCCATTTGCCAGGAGCCACCTGCCTATTGTCAAACGCTTGACCTTCCTTTCAGAATTGTTCCAACACAAACTCCAGGGACTGATGCCATGAGAGTTCTCTGCTAGAACATCTTCGTTGGCTCCATTTTCATACAACCACCGCACAACAGCCAGGTTTCCTTTGAAAATTGCCGCATACATTGGAAACCAAAATTTTCCACCAGCTCCAGTGGTCGCTCCTCCTTTGTTGTGAATGTACTGACACATAGGGAGGTCTCCATAAAAACAAAAGTGAGTCATTGGTGCAATGGAATGCCACAGCTCCACCTCAGGTGGTCTCATTGACCGAGATGGGTCAATGGCTTCAATACAATCATCTGGATCAAATCCTGCCTCCTTCAACTTGCACTTGGCTTTGGCATCATCTTCAATCAAATCGCACATCGGTTTGGGGGAGTTCCTTCGGCGGAGTCCATGGCTGTCGTCGTTTGGCGCCTCCTAAGAAACCAAATAGTTTGTGGTTGCAGGAAACAAGTTCCAAAAAGCCGGTCGTGCATCATCCAAAGAGAAAAGCCGACTGAAATACCCAAACCTTTTCAATTAACGGAACCAACTAATGCCAAAACCAAAGTCCCCATGTCAAGCCTCCATCGTCTGTGGGAGCTGGCCTGCTCCAACATGGTGTTTTGGTAGTTGCTCTGCCTTTGTTGAAGATGTAACTGCTACAGATCGCCTCAAATGAGATTGCGACCGTACTTCTAACTGGGACCACTAAGCCAGAATTCCTACCATGCGGGTGTCACCACGGAAGCAGAGGCTACTGATCGCCCCAAATGAGATCGCAACCATACTAATAACTGGAACTACTAATTCAAAAATCCTATCATGCGTCTGCATCATTCACCATATCTATACACTCACACAGACGGAAGACAACGCTGGTGGGTTCTCCCTCATCGTCATCGCCACAAACCACAAAGAAAGATCACTTCATGTGAACTCGCAAGGGCTATGAATGGTCTTTCAAGCATCTGACCAGCCGACGGATTCTCCCAATCTCTTTGGCACTGAAACCGTGGACGGCTCCCACATAATCCGCAATGCTCGTCAACACCCCATCGACGCCACCAATAAGGAGGACAGGGCATCCCCCGGATGGATCCATCAATTGTTTGCATGACAGCTCTTCCTTGCCTATTTTGGTTCCCATAAGGAATGCTTGGAAGCTGTCATGGGCTTTCACAACATCCTGTGACCAAGACAGTACATAAGGCCGGTAGTCTTTCATTCCACTTCTAACTTGTGCTTTCAAGTCAATTGCCAGTGTGCTCGCTGTCAATGCAACGGCTCCATTAGCTAGGAACCACCTGCCAATTGCCAAGCGCTCCTCTCTGTCGGGATGAATCCAGCAGATGCTCCAGGGGCTGTAGTGGGATCGATGGGCCCTTTCCAGAACATCTGCCTTGGCACCATTTGTGAACAACCACTTCACAACAGCCAAATTCCCTCGGTTAACAGCTGCATACATGGGGAACCAAAATGGCTCACCATCTCTTGTGATCACTCCGCCATGATTGAAGATGTAACGGCACATGGGAAGATCTCCATGATAGCAAAAATATATCATGGGTGTGATGGAATGCCATTCCCCAACATCTTGGGGTCGCGAGGAATATGGTGGATTAACGGCGGTGACACAGTCGTCTGGGTCGAATCCTGCTTCAATCAGTTTGCGCTTTGCTGTAGCATAATCTTCGATTATTCCCCTACTAGAATCAAAGTTTACATCAGATGGCATCGGCGGCGGTGCTTGGTTTGTCATGTTACTCAAATTGATCTACTGGCTAGCTAGCTTGATCTTTGAGTTTTGGGTGCTGGGTGCTGGGTGTGGTGAAAGTACTTGCGAGACGGACACCAGTCGTGGATCCAACAAAAGACATGACTGGATTCCATAAAAACCTGAACCTTTTACAGGATGACTTCTTTTACCCCTGACAGGTGTCAAAATGGATTCTCGTTTTGGCCAAACCGAAATCGAAAGCGGTCATTTCTAACAGAAATGGTCATTTTGCGAATCCTGCATTGAAAAGACTGGATCCAAACAAAGTAAAGATGAAGAAATAAAATTGAATTTTATCACCATGACAACGGTGTTGACCAAATGGCTATTAGCTTTACCAATACATTGAGATAGCTTATGCTTTCAAAGGACTAGCTCCCCAACACACTCACAGACACCCCCCTTGAAAAGCATTAGCTATCTCCAAGGTTTGTCATGGAGCATCAATGAAAAATCAGGCTTGGATTGCATTTTGTTGTCATTCTGCCATGGATTTCTCCATGGGAAAGGTGCTCCTGTCCTCACTCTCAGCATTCAACCTGCACTGTAGAGTCTGGTAGAGGAGTGGGTGGCTTGGATGGAGACTGGAGCACCCATCCCAAAGTTTCAAAGGAGAATTGTTGGCTCTTTGTTGGCAAAAATTGAGCAGATTTTCCTGTCTGCACTCAGTTAATCAAAACAGAAGAGGAGAAGCTGTCAATGTTGCTTTTATGGAAGAGGAGGCGTCAGGCATCATGGTTGCTCCGTGAAATGAGGAAGAAATCACACCGAAAGCAGCAAGTCGCTCATGCCCTCGGTTGTTTCCAGCCAGTGCCATTGTCGAGGCGTCGCTTGTCGTTCCAGTAGTAGTCGCTTGTTGTTTCATTAGCGGTAGAGGTGTCGTCGTTCCGTGGAAGAGGAGGCGTCATGGTGGCTCCGTGAAAGAGGCTCCGTGGAAGAAGAAAGAAGTCATCCACCGAATCAAAACGACGAATGGAAGCGATCAACGACCAATCGTCGAACGCCGCTGCCACTGCCGCTAGCCAAACAAGAGGAGCCTGTCATGCTGGTGAGTAGTAGCCTTTGTTAAGAGGAGTAGCCGCTGTAGCATCATCTTGATAGAGTCAATAGAGAGTAAAGATAGAGGTATCGAAATAATGAAAAAGAAGAGAGTGGCTTGGATCGATCGAACGATCCGCGAGTGATGTCAGTTGAGATTAAGGTTAAGGCTATATGTCCCTTAAGTCTTTTCACGGAACGTTCCTGGAAGTTCAGGTTCACATTCGAATGTCGTACCGGGAGCCGGCTTGCGTTTGTCTCGATAGTTTAGATTCAGCCTGTAACCTTTAAAACAAAAGGTCACGGCGCCAGTCCAAGCAGCCGATGACATCATGCAGAACGAAAACTACCACCACCCAAGCAAGCAAGCGAAGCAAGTCCGTGAGGTTTCCTCACGACTTAATTTGGGGTTTCCAAGGGGGCTAGATAAAACATTTTTGGGCAGGGCTCCACTATCCCAAAATCAGTACAAAGACATTTTTTTGCAGTAGGTACCCGATGTCTTTTCGGCATGATGGCACAGCCATGGTAAAACAAGCACATACTAAAGTGTACACAGATTCAGGTAGCCATGACAAATAGGACCACAACATCTTTGAAAAAGCTATGGGAAGAAAATTAGATGGGGTGATCTACACCTGATATTGGTCCTTGCACCAAATGAGAAAAAGAAAGGGGGGACCATTGAAAGGGCCCGAAATGGCGATTTACACCAAATTCCGATTTATACTTGTGGTTCGATTTTATATTTAGGTTTCGGTTTTATATTTAGGTTTCGATCTTATATTTTGGTTTCGGCTTGATTTTACTAGTTAATTACCATAGTAATTTGGTTTCGATTTTATATTTAAGTTTCGGTTTTATATTTAGGTTTCGAATTGATCAATTTGGTTGGATTCATAAAATCGTGATTTCTGGCCCTTTCATTGATTTTGTCAATAAAGAACAGGGGGCATCATCCATCCGCCCAAACAACGTGAAGCACCACTGAAGAGACAGATGCTTTCTTGACACAAGACAGAATGGCAGACATCAACAGAATCGAAGCTCAAGCGAGCCAGGAAAATGAACGAGGACAAAAATTCGTAGCATTGAAATCAACAAGATGGTGGAACTCAAGGCACATGTACCCTCAACAGTTAATAGATAGCAGACGAGATGGAAGCCGAGACCAACGCTACGCTGTCAATGAAGAGAGCCGTCATTGTGGAGTGTTGAGTGAGGAGGAAAAAGGGCATAGCTTTCGATGTTTCGATGGTTGAATTTATGGAACTGAACTGCTTCGACAGGAGAGGTAGTTTCATGGGTCGGAGAGTCAGTCGTCGAGTCGGGGAGGCTGCTGTTGGTTCTCTCTTAACGCTGCGTTAGACAACAACCAGTAGATGAGTAACAAGTTCAGTTTTCCATTTGCTGGAATAAGAAACAGCCCATAGGATTAGTCTCAGAATGTGGAAAAATGGTGTTGCAGCTGTGGATACGGCCTTTGTTAATTCAATCCCACAAAACCAAACTACGTGGACTGGTTGACAATACACATAGTCTCTGAAGATCGATCCAATCGTATCTTTCTATTTTGTTCATTATTTCGATCGATACCTTTACTCTATCAAGATGGTGTTATTATCTTCTCTCTACAGCGGCTACTTCTCTTGAAGACATCTCCACCATTAGAGGCTCCTCTTGCTTGGTTAGGCTTGAAGCAGCGGCACCGAATCTATCAAGCCAATGCTAGACTATCCAAGCTGATTGCACTACGCTAAAAGCTAGTGTAAAGATCTTTCGAGTGTTTTGAGTTTGAGAGAATGAAAGTTATGAGAGAGATTAGAAAGCTACGAAAACTAATCCATGAAAGAGATCGTTGTGAAACTCATTGAAGTTGGTCTCCCGCGGGAGACCTCGAAGTGTGATATCGTAGGTTATGGTAATAACTCTACGTACTCCACGGTCCATTTCCGGAACACGTGGAAACTTCAGCTAGTAGCTGTCTAGTATCGTGGAAGCTTTCCACGGCGGCTAAATATCTAGAGCGATGTTCCATCGACAACCTAGTATGACTCGCAGTCATGAGAACCCTGTCTCAATGACTATTCGCGAAGGACTACGTCATGAGTCGAACTCAAACCCTGTCTAGGATCAAGTCGCAAATAAGGCTAAGAGCCGTGTATTGCATTCGCCCCCTGACAAGGGTCACAGAAGGCACCACATCAGTCGGACAAGGAGAACATATGAATTAAAGTGCGGGGCACTCTCCGGAGATTGGATGTAGACATGTGCGTCGCACGATGGCAATCCTACAAGGGGATCAGGCCTTGTATGGGTGTAAATACCTTATGTTCCAAGTCTGGTAGACTGTGCCGCCATTGGCGGTAGCATGTCGGAGCCGTACAGTGCCATTGTCATTGACTCGGTCTATGTTGTAAGGACCTTAGTACTTTGGCTGACCGTACTTGCGGTGCTGATACTGTTGAATCATCACAGTATCGTTGACATTGTATTGATGAGGGACACGCGTCGCGTTCTCCCTATCATTGTTTTTCTGGATAAGTCGTTGGTGACGTTCCTTGATGTATTTCCAGTTTGCTTCGAAACGCTGTGCAGGCGTTGCACGCAAGGTGGTATGAATCGTAGCATTCATTGCGAACCGAAGGACTCCATCCCAGGATCCATTCACGAGGTCATCTTGACACTTGATATTTTGAATAGCTTTCAAGTTACGAATGGTCTGATGAGCACGCTCAACCATCGAGTTGGCTTGAGGGTTACGTGTGGTAATGAACTTGCGACGAAGTCCATATTCATCCCGGAGAGTCTTCTCGACTTCTGCGCAGAACTCACGTCCTCTATCCATGATAACCTCAGCAGGCCATGGATACCGAGTAAGCCACGTCTGTTCTAGAACGATGGCTACTTCGTCTGCTGCTTTGGAGCAGATCTCAGCAATCTCGAACCATCCGGTTACGGGATCAATCATTGTCAGGCAATGAAGTGTACAGGAATTCTTTTTCTTAGGATCCCCGACGTTGTAAGGACCTATCAGGTCAATACATAGTCTTTCCCAAGGGATCTCCTTGCAAGTCTTTGGAGGAAGCAATCCCAGCTTACGCGTTTTGGGTTTGTTCAGTTGGCAGCTTTGACAACGCTGACATACGGACTGCACAGTCTTGCGCAACCCTTTCCAGGTGTAGTGTTGACTGATGGTAAGTTCATCAGTACACCATGATACCATTCGACCAGCTTCTTCTGCATGGCCTTAGGCAAAACAATCTTGTCGTCCTTGATGACTAGTTCATAGGACTTATCCCCTCTGGGAAAAGATTGTTTCTTGTAGTCGTTTGGCTTGTCCCTGAGGAGTTTCTTGATATCGTTATCGTCCTTCTGGCGATGTTCGATCTCGGGGAACGAGAGAGGGAAGTCACTAGGGAAGTCCTCTTCGTCTGCGGCCATGAGCTCAGCAATCTCGCTGGCTTCCATTTGTTCTGAAGAACCCTCGTTGTCCGAGATGTTAAGTCTCGACAACGCATCAGCGACGATGTTGTGTTCGCCCTTGATGTACCAAAGTTCAGGGCCATATTCTTCCAGAATAAGGCGCCATCGCATAATGCGATCGGTATTGAAATTCTTGCAGGTGAGATTCTTGTGGTCCGTATGTACTACAATCTTCTGCCCGAGAAGAATGTTACGGAACTCCTTGAGAGTCTCAACGATACTGAGAAGTTCCTTCTCAGTTACCGTATAGCGTGTTTGAGCGGGATTGAGTTTCCTGCTGTAGAACGCGATAGGCTTTCTGCAATACACGGCTCTTAGCCTTGTTCGCGACTCGATCCTAGATAGGGTTTGAGTTCGACTCATGACGTAGTCCTTCGCGAATAGTCATTGAGACAGGGTTCTCGTGACTGCTAGTCATACTAGGTTGTCGATGAAACATCGCTCTAGATATTTAGCCGGCGTGGAAAGCTTCCACGCTACTAGACAGCTACTAGCTGAAGTTTCCACGTGTTCCGGAAATGGACCGTGGAGTACGTAGAGTTATTGCCATAACCTACGATATCACACTTCGAGGCCTCCCGCGGGAGACCAACTTCAATGAGCTTCACAACGATCTCTTTCATGGATTAGTTTTCGTAGCTTTCTAATCTCTCTCATAACTTTCATTCTCTCAAACTCAAAACACTCGAAAGATCTTTACACTAGCTTTTAGCGTAGTGCATTTTGTTAACAAACACAATAGCTTTCAGCTACCCTCAACGTATTCCTTCACCATGAAGATTGCTCAAGGAAAGCATGCGTTCACCAACTTCGAGAAACAGTTGTGTGACAAACCCATTCTTCCTCTCGTGGACAACGACGAAGAAGCCGAGATCGACGATACTCGTGCAACCACCTACAAACTTCGCACCGTTCCTGCAGATGCAAACAGTGCCAAATATACCTTCAAGGTAGCCATCATCAATGGTTCCAACACTCCGCGTCAGACCATCAAGTGGGCTACG